CATGAACTACCATCCCCACAGTGAAGCATGGTGGTAGATACTAACTCCTGTAGAGGAGTCGTAGGAGTCTTGGTGGCCTCCCTCACTAGTCTCCTTCTTGCATGGTTGCTCAGTTTTTGAGGACAGCCTGCTCGAGGCAGATTTACACATGGGCTGTATTCCTTCCTTCAAGATAAATTAGATTTTTTCTTGTCTACGTCCCCTGACTTATGCTTTTCAGTGACCCTGTCATGAATGGTGGTGTGTTTAGAACCAGGAGTACTGATTCACCAGTGACTGGACCCTCTGGATACGGTTTTCTTCATCCTACAATCACTTGAGACACATTAACTGCTCTCAGATGATCTCAGCTTCACTGATTGTATGACTTCAAGCATCGACCGGCTGAATTAGGTGAGTCACTGAGGACTTACAGTATGTCATTTCTTATATAATTTATTATATTTTCTGTTATTTCACATTACTTTGTCGCAATCTGTCTTCACGCTGATATGAAAGAGTATATTTCTGCAAATTCCTGTCAGAAAGCCAGATTAAATTGACCTTAATTTAATGCTGAAAACCAATAAAAGTACCAATAAAAGACACTGTATATCAGACAGTGTCGTTTGGATCCACCTCGTGTCTCGTAGCGTCAAGCTGGTGCACTAACGGCGTCTAATTGAGGAAATGCAGGCTGTATAATTTCCAAATACTTCTTACCGGAGGAGACGTGTTATATTTACTGTCCTATCTTGGAAATCGTTATCACCTCCACCGAACACCTCTCGTGTCTTTTCTGCTCTGTCAACAAGTGAGCTAAGTAAAGTAGCTGTGACTCAAAATGACTCACACCTCAATCACTTTCCTGCAGCATGTGGGCACACACACACACACACACACACACACACACACACACACACACACACACACAAACACACAAAGAAAGACTCTAAGGTGTCCCCAAGCGAAGGTAGCAGCTGTTCTCAGCATCGAGTTGCATGTTTTGGCAAAGAAATATCAAATATCTGGAAAGTTCCCCTAAACATTTGAAGAGGCGCCTTTGGGCATCGAATACGCACACAAACACACACACACACACACACCTACACACCTACACACACACACACACACACACGTACACAGCAGAGTGTGTGAACGCTGCGGTATATAAATATGAGCCAATGCAACTTTCGGATGCCAAGGATGGAGAGAGAACACTTACTGTAATGAATGGCTGATGGAGCTCAGGCTTATCTCGCAACAACACACACACACACACACACACACACACTTGCAAGCAAACCTGCAAAACAGACAGGATCAGATGTCCTGAGCTGCTCTTTGTTGAATCTTGTTAAAAATGTCGTGATATTTAGGTTTAAATGCTAACAAAGCCCAAAGAAGCAGACAAAAAAAATAAAAAATAAAATACGCAGGTTGTTAATTATCCATGGTTAAAGCTCTGGCCTTTCTCCACAGGCCCTTTTTCTCGCTCCGTTCTTACGCAACCTGCTCATAAATAGAAAATGGATGTGTCATTCAATTATTGTATTTATACTGGAAATGGACGAAAGGCTGAGGCCAAGGTTTACACCGGAGCCCACACATGGTTTTAAGCCTTCTTCCATTAAGTTTATTTCTGCTGCAGCATGAAAACACAGTGACTCATTTATCTCGGCTGCACAGGTGGATAATGTGCTGGGCTTTTTTTTTGTTCTTTTTATAGTTGGTTTAGCAGCTTTAAAAAAAAAGAGAATCAATAGATCTAAACTGTGCTGGTGAAAAACGGAAACCAATACATGTGCAAGACTGAGCCGATGTCGGATACAAAAGGTGAGGAAGGAAGGATGGGGAGCGCTGGGGAGAGGAAGGCCGCCGTGCCGTTGTGTTTTTCCAAGAGGGAAGCAGGTTTGGCTTTTTTCTGTTTTCTTTAACATGTCCACTCGCAGCAAAGTGGTGGCGAAGCAGGGACCTTTGAGGCTCGTCCATCCAGATGCACGATGTGTTTTTTGTTGTTTTAGCTGCTGCTGGGGTTAAATCAGTCCCAAACCTCTGTCCCTTCCTGCTCCATGCTGTTTGCCTGATCCCCAGCCAGGTGGTTCCTGTTCTCCACCTTCTGTGCTGTAGCTGTGGGCACTGCTCTCAGAAAGACACTGTTCAGGCTCTTTGAACTGCTTTCTGTTAAATATCTGCAGCAGAAGATTCAGCTGCTGCTGTTTTTTTTTCTCCAGGTGATTTTTTGGTTTTTTTTACTGGAAAACTATCTGCGGCCACACGCTGCTGCCACGATCCTGTCAGTTATTCTAACGCTGTTCTCACTACAGCAGCACAGTTCGTCACAGCATTTTAATTGATTCCAGCAGGGGAACTAACACAGTTTACAGTGTGACAAGTCCCCAGTGTGCTCAGTTATGTAAACCATTTATGTGAAAGTGAAAACCAAACGCACATGACATGGATTTTGCAGCACAAAAAAATGGCCGGTGGTGGAAAGTCACAGCTCAGAATATCTAATATACAACGTGTACCACAACAAGCTTTCACATTGCTGAGGAGTAAACTGGTGATTTTTCTACTTTTTTTGGCTTCTGAGGCCTTAAAGAAAGCAGCGTGTCGTCAGCGTCACCAGATAGTTCTCAACTTATAGTTTAAACTGATGCTCAGATGACCCAATAGAACTTCCTTCCTCTCCCGTTAATCATGTGACAGATTGATCGGCTGTGTCTGACAGTAAAGTTGTGTTTAATGTGGTTCAAATCAGCTCCAGCAGCATCAGCAACACGCCGCTGACACACTGATGAGTCAGCGTTAATAATCTAATGATGTCATATTTAATAATAATAATCAGTCAAAGGGACCAAACCTGTTCTTTCACTTTAATACTTTACATTTCTTTACTAATACTCACGTATTTTTACTTGAGTGTGACTTTTCATGCAGTAATGTGGTGTTTTTACATCACTGTGCTGCTGCTTTTACTTTAAGATCTAAATATGTTTTATGTTATTTGAAGCTGCACTCATACAAATGTGACAGAGATACTGAAAAAAGCTGAACATTTTATAAATATTCAGTTTGATCTCCTAACATATATGATAAAAAGAAGAAATTGCAGTTTAAAAAAAACAAAAATCAAGCATTTTTCCTTCAAAGATTATTCATCGGTGGTCTGTATACAACATGTGCATCAATTAAAGTCAGAATAACGGCTTCTGGTTTCATTTCTGAAGCAGCTACTAAACAAACCTGCTGATGTTTAAGGTTTTTAAGCAGCTCATGACACCTTTATTCATACAATTCAGCTGAAAATGGAAAGCACCTTCAAATGTGGGTGAAGAGGTGAGAAATTTAGGAATCAGAACCCCGTCTAATCACGGATTTGGTCCTCTAGTTGAGCTTTAAAGGGTTTTCCTGCCCAGGAGACAGGAGGGTAATCCTCTCAGCGTGGGATCCGGCCTCATTAAAACACACCACCGCTGGCTCCCTGAGAGGACTCGTCACCAGCTGAACTGTGACCCATTTTGGGTGTGACCCCTTCTTTTAAGAAGCCAGGCTGCGAGTCTATTGTACAGCATCCTGGGAACTAAACCTACACACAGCTCTGCTTTGGAGTGCGAGCTTAAACGAGCACAGACTTCCATCCATCTACCCGACCATTATCTATATCCACTTAGCCCTTTGCGGGGTCATGGGGAGCTGGAACGTGTCCCAGTTTACATTGGGGGGAGAGGCTCTACATCCTGGACCATCACAGCACTGTGTCAGGGTTTTAGCTTAATTGCATTCATTAATATATGTTTAGTTAAAAGTTTTTGCCAAAAAGTGTAATTGATGAATTTCTTTGCCCTCATAAAAGATGATGTGAAAGAAACCTTCCTGACAGCAATAAATAAACGTCCGTCATGCTAAATTAAACCAGTGAAATAGCCAACAATGGTCCTTTTCAGCGCCTCGAACTGAAAATACCAACTTCTGCCGTCACAAAGGTGCTTCAGAGTCCCCCAGTTTAAAAGCATACGGCTGAGGGGCTCGGAGGTGGTTCAGGCATTTGATCGGGATGCCTTTTAAGGGCCATTTGGAGGTTTTTAGGGCAAATCCAGCTGAGAGGAGACCCCGAGGTAGAACTCCCCTAGTGTAATAACATATCTCATCTGGCCTGGGAGCACATTGGGATCCTCCAGCAGGATCTGAAAATCATTGCAGAGGAGAGTGACGTCTGGAAAAGCCTGCTCCACTTTCAGCCACCACCATCTGACCCCGTAGAAGCATAACGGGGGAAAAAAGGCTTGTGGGAAACGTACGAAACCATCACAAGCCAGCGTATAGTCGACAAGTCTGTAATTAAACTGCATCATGTTGCTCTGATGACGTTTCTAACTGAAGTGATCAGAGTTTGTCTGCAGCGCTGTTGGGAGTTTGTGTTGAATTAACTTTGTGTGATGGAGCTGCTGTCGTCCTCACATCAGTCAGTTCTGCTGCTTCACCACAAGATCAGACTTCTGTAAGGGTCACATGTGAGTGAGGATGCAGATTGAATTGTATGTTTTTGTTGAACAGAAGCTGCTTTTAGCTTTTTCTCACTCCAACACTGATCCCCATGTGTACCTTCTATAGTCGAACACCACCTGAGATCCAGAGTCTCCCCATGAAAGCAGACACCACACAGTCTGTTGTACTTTCTCAGGAACCTTTTCCCTTTTTCCCTTTGGTCTTCTGAGTCCCTACATGCTGCGACACTTCCCCCTTGTGTTCCTGTTCGGTACTGAGCACCGTCAGGCCTCCTGGGTTTGAGGGGAGGATCTGAGGGTGGAGCTCCACCTCGCTGTGCTCTGCTCACAGGAACAGGTACAACTTTTTTTTTTAAAGGCTGTAATCCAAAGCCAGCAGAGCGGGTAGAGGCTGTGTGGAAGTTTTCATTGGTGGGAATGACGTGCTGCACAGATAATGGACTGCAGAGTCAAGCAGCCAGATGTTGCTCTTAACTAAATGCAAATAAGGTTGTAAGAGCCTAATTAATGATGGGAAGGTTTGTGGCTGACCTGTTTCTCCTCCTGCTGATTTCCACTGGACACGTCTATGGAGGTAAGTTGCTGCAGAGACACAATCATTCCTTCTCTTTCTTGTTGCATGCAAAAGTTGAAACTGCACATGTGGTCAGACTGTAGAAAGGTGGCTTTTAGTTGTTAGTATGCTTTTATAAATGCTAGCGTTTAACATTTGTGCACAAGCTGTTTGGAAGTGAACTCCATAAAGTTAGAGATAATGTAGATGTCACAACAAAACATTTTTGATTCATGTATATTGTGCCTGAGACAGCTTGTTGTTTAATCCAGTCCAGTGTTGTAGTCTGGTGACATATGGTCATATGCTGGATTATATTTTGGTTGGATGCCTCCACTTTTGTTGTTTGCAGCGACATGGTTACTTGATGTGATGTCACGCTGCTCAGTTGGTTTTCTGATTATGGTTTCCTCACAAGTGCAGCACAGATAAAATGCTGCCATCATGAACATCTTGCACCTTGATCTCCTTTTACATGTAAGTGCACAAAACATCTGTTTTCACCACCAACAGAGCTGTATGAACTCACAAACCAAAGTTCTGCTCAACGCTAAATAGCTGAAATGTCAACGCACACATCTTGAAAACTTGATTAATTGGACAGTTGTGCAAGTCTCTGTGTCACATGAGCGCTCACAAAAGGGCTGCATCACATTGGAGGTGTCTGTAGGAAGATTACTAATAATCCAATGTTCACTGGTATCATAGAGGCAGATTAGAGATGCTCGGACAGACATGGGTTATACTGACAGCGGGCTTATAGGCTTTGTGCAGAGCGGCATGCTGGGCCAGCCTGCTGACCGAGTACTTCTCATATGGGACCGGCGCTATAACCCATATGAGCAGCTGTGATATTCAACTTTAGTTTGTGCAGGCAGTGCATTTCCCAATCAGAGATAAGAAAGGATTTAAAGGCAAAAATAATAAGCCATTGTGGCGAATGATGCAGGATTAAAAACACCCAGAGGGACGTCTGTTGTGTTAGTTATAGTATCACTGATGAGGACATGCTGAACAATGTTTAGCAGAAAAAACTGTCCCGACAATAAACTTTTCCATGTTTCCTTATTTCCTCCATTCATTTGCACTATTTGCCAACTTAGCAGACACACTAACCACTTGCAAATAATATATTTAGAGATGTTAAACACTTGTGGGTAGAAATGTGGCCTGTGCTGTGGACTGACAGAAGAGAAATAATTGGTTTTTATGTCAATACACTGCAGAATTGTTGATCTGTCCACAGCAGCTTTTCTGAGTAATTATAAAATTCTTGGCCTCGGTTTTCTCCCCCTCTTGCCAATTAGACTTTTTTTTTTTTTTAAATAGTTGGAGATAGAAAAAAGTCTGTTTGTTGCACAGAACAGTTTGTCATTTTTTTGGATCTGGGCTATTCAAATACTCATTTAATTTCTCTCTGGCGTTTGCTGCCGTTCCAAACTGCTGTGCTGCTTTCTTCAGAGACTTCCAGCGTCAGCCGTCCACACGTCTCTCTCTGACCTCTATTTGCTGTATGTCATGGTTTCCACAAATGGACCGTCATTTTGACCGAGCGGTCCAATATGGTTGCTTTGTAGGACAAATCAATCGGAATAAAGACAGCTTTACTTTGTGTCATCATGCACAGCGAGCGGCAGGTTTACTGGCCTCCCTGCAAACCACAGAAACCACACACTGATGTGTTTATATAACCGCAGAAGGGGAAAGTGTTGAACTGTTGTATCTCATTTTTACAGGCGATAAATGCAGCGGAAATGCACTAAATGCATGGCTCCGGGGTTTGGCAGCGTCTCGACAGCTATCAGACTGATCGCCGTAACATTTTCATCAGTTCATGATTGACAGATAATGTTGTGATTAACTTTTTGTGGTTTAAGGTTAAATGTCTCGACAGCTGTTAGATGAACGACCACGACATTGAACACAGACAGTCATGGTCCACTCAGGATGAAGGAATTCTACGATGATGATGTTGTTTTTTTTATCTTTTGCCACATTTAGGTCCAGATTTTGACCATTTTTTTCCAATATCAATACATCAGGCAACACTTTGTAATACAAACATCATATTAGAGTTGTGTTGAAAATGAAAACCTGTGGGATAATAGTTTATTAATGATGCAGTTGTGTATTTCACAAACGAGTTAACAACTTGTTGACTCTACCATCTGCTCAGCTGTGATGCATACTCTGCTACATGTGCTGCAGACAGTGCAGCTGGACAAACTATGAACCAAACACAAAGCACAAAAACAAAACATGAAGAAGTTTCCATATTACACACATTGGACAGCATTTACATTGATGCCAATACATCTGTGACAGACTATTATTGGCCAACCAATATATCAGTCAGGCTCTGATGCTAACTCGTGCTAACATTCTAAGATGATAAACATCATAGTGAGCGCGTTAGCATGGTGATGTTAGCAGTTAGCTTAAAGCTCTGAGCTCAAGTACAACCTGACAGAGCCTCTACCTAAAAGCTTAATCTTGCTTTTTCATATCTGGCATGAAGCTGCAATCTAATGCATGATTGAAACACCTTTTTAAAACAATTATTTTCATCATACGTGTGTCACGGGTTCCCCGTTTAGGATCCCAGCATGCTCTGTAAAATCTATGACTAATGATGCTATCTGTGCTTGCAGTTTACATGTTTGTACAACTTAAAACTTCAATTTGTGTCATCTGGGTCAACGGAGAAGTCTAATTAGCATCAGAACGTTTCAGGATGACCCGCTTCACAATGCATTAGTTGTCATTAATTGAATTCAGATAGCAGGTGCAAAGTGCAGAGCAGACACCACATTGACCAGCAGTCAATACAGATTCATGGAAAAGTCTTTGCTGGGAGAAGGACTTGGGTCACCGCCGGGGCAACATCTCAGTGTTTCAGCCATGGGGGCACGCTGGATGAACCCACAGCAAATTCATGGAAATGTTTTGGATTACTGAAACCGTTTATGGCTGTGAAAGCCGCTGGTACCTGTTCATAACACTACCAAAGTTTTATTAATGTGACCACAACTCTGGCTTAAATTTCTCATCCTTGTCCTTTTTCCTCGTTGCAGTTTCGTTCTACGGCGACGGCTACATCCACCTGCGGACGGTGGAGACGTCCACTCAGACCTTAATCCACGTACGGTTTCGAACCTCTAATCCATCAGGGCTGCTGTTTCTGGCAGCAGGACGCAGAGACTTCTCGCTCCTGGAGCTGATCTCTGGGCGCCTGCAGGTACAACATGTTAGTAGTTTACATGTCAAAAGCAGCTCACATGTGTGGAAGAGAGCAAAATGACAAATGTGTTTATTGTGTATTTCAAAGGATCCAAAGTGTTTGCAGAGGAACTGTATCACTTGTTTGTTTGGTGAGATGAGACGATTTAAATGTCAGTGATGTGGCTTCAGATCAGTGAAACCTCTTTTGAGGCTCTCACATAAAAATACCTCATGTCTTCAAAGCAAAGGGAAAAAAATGGTCCCTTGGGCCATTTCAGCTCATATATGTTGGCATTTACTATCCAGAGGAAGGCCAAAATGTAGACTGAACACACACACAGCTTGGTGTCAGATTGCTCTGACAGAGAAAAAAAAACAGAGCGAAGCCCCTGGCACTGGCTCCATTTCAGAACAAGTTCCTTCATGACTGAGGTTAAGAGAGAAGACCACAATAGCTAAATGAAAACACCGAGTACAAGGCAATGGAACTGCTAATGAAAGAGCTTAGCTGCATTTGTGTTTGTGGTATAATCCTTTAATCCAGAGTTAACAGAGTTAGTTTTTTTCTTTAATATGCACACTGAACAACTCCATCAACATCTAACGTGATTCATGTTTTGTGCTTCTCTTGCCTGCTTTTGTCTTTTAACTTTCAGCTTGTGTTTGGGCACAGACACAGAAATTGCCGTTTATTCCATGCGGTTGGTTTTGTCTTCACTCTTTCCCTTCTTGCCTCCGCCTTCACCCCTCAGGTACGTCTGGACCTGGGCTCAGGTGAGCGTTCGCTGCGCTCAGAAAAGGGCATCCACCTCAGTGATCTGGCATGGCACACTGTGGAGCTGACCCACAACCGCCATAACATCACTCTGACTGTGGACAGAAACTCTCACACCAGCCTCCGGATGCCAGGGCCGGATCTGGAGCTCAGGGTGGAGGACGGACTCGTTGTTGGCGGGACAGCTGGACTGAAACATCCCTACCTCCTTAACATCTCCACTGGGTTTAGGGGCTGCATAGATGAAGCTGTCTTCAATGAGCATAACCTTCTGGCCAGCCTCAGGCCTTATTCTGGGTACAAGAGCGTCCATGAGGTGTCTCTGGGCTGCAGTCCACAGTTTTCTGCTACAGAGGAAGACACTGTGAGTTTTTTCAGCTCCAAAGCCTTCATTTCTCTCCCACCGTGGGAGGTGCTTCAGGAGGGGGTGTTTGAGTGTGAAATGCACCCTTCAGGCAAAGAAGAAGATGGCTTGGTCCTGTTCAGCTCTGGCAGCCAGGGAGGGTTTGTTGCCATTGAGATCAGAGATGGTCACCTGGTGGCAACGGTGGGAAATGCAGAGGGCAGTAAAACTGAGCTGCATTCTCTAACCTACGTCCACAGCAACCAAACTTGGTACCCCATCCAGCTGCATTTGCTGCCTCACAGCGCCCAGCTGAAGGTCGGCAAGGAGCTGGTGAGGGCCAGCCTGAGTCAAGAGCTTCAGGTCATCCAGCTCAAAGGACCTCTCTTCTTAGGAGGGCTGAACGAAGACGCTCGTGGAGAAGTGAGACGAGCTCGATTGCCTTCTGTTCCACCTGCAGGAGGCGGCTCCTTCAAAGGCTGCCTCCGAAACATTATGGTGAACACTCAGAAAACAGGCCTGCCTCATGCCACGGTGACCAAGGACATCACTGTGGGCTGTGGGTCAGGAAGAGCTCCACAGACAGTGACTATCACCAGCCCGACATACGCTCCAGAGTTTGATGCTACAACCACGCAGCCTGTCACCAGCAGCAAGAGGAACCCAAACTTCTTGTTGCTGAGAAAGCTGGAGGTATCTGAGGGAGGCCGGGCACCGCTGGAACCCAAACACATCAAGGTAGGACTTGTTGTTTCTGCTGAGCTTTCTTTTGAGAATTCATTTTTAGATATTTGACAAGTTTCCTATCAATAAAAGTAAAAATAAACAGGAGTCAGTTTTAGCTCTTTTCCTATTTGCGCTCTTTGCTAGGTCAATTTGGATTTCCGTAAACTGGGCATCCATCCATCCCAGCTGAAGTTCCGCGTCGAGGAGCAGCCTGTTCACGGCCAGCTCCGGCTGGACATCAGTCCAGACCCTGACGGGACACTGGACATGGTACAGGAGAGGACGATTACAGTAGAAACAGAGGAGAAGGACCGGACCTTCAGCATGCTGGACCTGTGGCAGGGCCGGGTGATGTACGTTCACGGTGGTTCAGAGGACCAGAACGACTTCTTCACATTTTCAGTCTTCTCCACCAATAAGAGGGAGCTTCCTGTGTTTCTGAGGGGAAACCGCCTGCACAGGTTTGAGATCAGCATCAGTCCCGTTAATGATGCGCCCGTCCTCAGTCTGCCGGGGGGAAACCTGTTCACACTGCTGGAGAAGTCCAAACGACCGGTAGGTAGAACAGAATGCCTCCATGATCTGAATATTAGTGTTACGTGTTAAAGATAATCTAAATCATGCACCCACAACACCCCCAGCTGACTACAGATGTGCTGAGAGTGTCCGACCCTGACAGCGGTCCTGAGGAGCTGGTTTTCAGCTCCCTGGGAAACCTGAACACTGAGGCCGGATACCTTGAGCATCAGGATTACCCCGGCAGGTTGGTGCTCTACAGTGACTTGCAAATCTTCTTATAACCACTCATGAGGCAGCTCTCCACTGCTGGGCTGGTGTAATATGGCGACCAACGTCTGCAGGAATCTGCCCTTTGAGCCTTTCTGTTTACATTAGAAAGTAGTATCCCAGAGCTTTGACTGTCATCTTAACTTTGAGAGGGCCAAACAACAATAAATAGTAATTACTAGACGTAACTCCAGTTCAATGAGCGTGTAGGAAGTAGAACAATGGAGGGTTTGTTATGTTAGCCTATGTGGGGATTTCTACAGATGAAAATCACACAAAGCTTTGGGCCACCCTAAAATGTCCCACAAGCTCCTGAGGGTGGAAAACTACCCTGGAGACTGTTGGGAAAGCTGCTGTTTATACATAAATAAGAACAAGCCTCGAAAAGAAAGACCTGCAAATGTTACTGATCTCCTTTTCTGTCAGTGTTTAGGAGCTTAATCGTATCATCACTGATTCTACTACGTTTTGCAGCTTCAGACAAACAAGCAGTGAGACAGAAAACAGAGCGAAGCATGGAAAATAACAGGACTGGGTCTCTCTTTCAGGGCCATCAACTTGTTCTCCTTAAACGATCTGGAGGAGGGTAAGATCAGTTTTGTCCACACGGGGGTCTCCACCTCCAGGCTGGCGCTCAGGGTCAGCGACGGGCTGAAGGTGGGTCAAACTGTAGCTTCCCTGAGATAAATTAATGACATAAATCATTGTTGAAGCATTAAATGTTGCAGAAGTGGGCTAACAGGGACCTTTTAAAACAGGGTAATTAACTATCTTTATCTATTTAAATCCATTGCCTCCTCTCATCTGTCCCGCCACCTTCATGCCTTCTCTTCTGTCCTCTCCTGTGGTCGTTTTTTGTCTTCTACAGGTGAGCAACACAGTCGTTCTGAGGATCATGACGGTGGCGCTCGAACACAAACTGGTGAACAATACCGGCGTGGAGGTGAACCAAGGCGAGGCTTCCATCATCAACGCCAGCCACCTTGCAGTAGAAGTGAATGTGGCCGATCAGGCAGCAGAGATCTGGTATGAAGTCACGGAGCTGCCACAGTACGGCGAGCTCCAGAGGTTGCACTCGAGTGGCGAGTGGAAACTGACGACCTCGTTCTCTCAGAAGCTTCTTGAGAAAGAGCGGATCCGGTACCTCAGCACCTTCTACGGCCTTCAGGCTCAGAGCAACGTCACTGACTACTTCAAATGTAACATCAACATCGGCTCTGTGGCCAAAGAGGAGGTTGTTTTCCCCATCGTAGTACGCTGGATTCACTTCAAGGTCACGCGAAGCAAAATGGAGATCAACGGCGTTCAGACTGCTGTTGTGACTCCTGAGGAGCTCAACGTGATTTCTAAGGGCGTTAAACTCAATGAAAGCGATCTCCACTTCAGACTCGTGACGGTGCCAAAGAAAGGCCAGATGTTCCTCGACAGCGAAGTTCTGCAAAGGAACTCCACCTTCAGCCAGAAGAACATCACAGATGGTTTGGTGGTTTATAAGCTTCTGACCAGACTGCAGGACGACACCAGAGACACCTTCAGCTTCCGTGTGTTTTCAGCGCACGCCAACTCAACGGTTTACGACTTCAGGATCAACATCAAAGCCGAGTCGACGGCCGTCACCGTTGTAAATAAAGGCCTTTCAATCGTGGAAGGAGGGAGCAAAGTGATCACGAAAGACATCCTGTTCACTCACACGGCCAGCAACCGGGAGGTCCACTACAACATCACAGTGAGCCCGAAGCACGGGCAGATACGGAGGATCAACTTCTCCAACTCAACTTCCATAAACGACAACATCGGGACGTTCACAAATCAGGACATCACTGAGGAGAGGATCATGTACGTTCACGACGACAGTGAGACCAAGCAGGATTCCTTCGCGTTTCAGATTGTGGTTTACAAGCCGCACAAACACACGAACAAGAAGGAGGACAGGAACACGGCGGAACACACCTTTAACATCTCCGTCCAGCTCGTCAACGATCAGAGGCCTGTCAGGGTTGTCGATAAAGTTTTCCACGTGGCCCGCGACGGCCAGAGGCTGGTGACGTTAAATGATCTTCGCTTCCAGGACGACGACTCGGACTTTGAGGACAGCTGGTTGGTCTACACGAGGAGGGGGATTCCACTGGGAGAGCTGGTGCTGGCCAGCGATCCCAACCACAAGCTGTACGAGTTCACGCAGCGCGACATCGAGCAGGTTAGCACAGAAGATTGTTGGTGAGCCGTTTGGTAGAAAGTCAAAGCTCCTGGATATGGATTTAAGAAAACAGTCTGCTGTCATGTAAATTAGGGGTCGACTGATGTGGTTTTTCAGAGCCAATACCAGTTGTTAGTAATCAAAGGGACAAATAAACAATGTTTGAAATCGATTTCAATTCCAGTTAAAATGAAAATCTTGGAGGCAAACTTTAGAATAACACAAACTCCTTTCAGTAACTTTCAATATTTATCTGTTAGTCTATCACTCATGACGGGTAACCAGTGATGTGCTGCTGAAGTTGTGACGATGCATGGCTAACACGGTGCATCTCTGAATTCATTTATTTAATCAGGATTTGTTTTATTTAAATAAAACAATACCAACAATAGGAAAACTGCTAATGACTCGTACATAGAGTTTATAAAGATGTTACTGCTTTTTACATTTTTTATAACGCCTACTTATGTTTTTTTTTTTCTCACCATCTCCTCTTCTTCTCTCTCCCCTCAGAAAAAAGTCTTGTTCGTCCACAGCGGAGTGAGTTTTGGGCGTTTCGTGCTTTTCGTATCAGATGGGAAACATTACGTCTCAACGCTGCTGGAGGTGGTTATCCTCAGTCTTTTATTTATTTATTCATTTTGGAGGCGGTGTTTAGGCTCTAACAACAGAGTGAGGCTAGAATGATGACAGGGAATGAAAGCAGACAGAATCTGGGACTCATGGGCCACAAGGGACGCTGCTCACTGATGGACTTCACTGTAGAAGGGCCAGTGTTGGTGGGTTGTTATCGTACAGCTGCTGTTCCTTGGCCAGACGTGGAATATAACCATTAGGAGAGCAAAAATACAGGGAATGTGTAAGAAACAAGACAGGCAGGAAGCATACAGTGTAAGCAATTATTATTATTGCTTAAGCTGGGCGTTGTCTCCCCTTATTTTCATGTAATCAGTAATTTTTATTGTGTGTGTGTGTGTGTGATAGTTCCCCTACCTGGTGATTTATGTCTCATTTAACAAGTTATCTTCTTGTAATTAGATAGCATAGGGTGTTCTTAGTGTGAAAATAAGCCTTTTGATATCAGTGGTCGAACTAATGCTGTAAATAATTAATTTGTGTGTCTGTTGTCTACCTCCTGGTGCAGGTGATGGCCCAGGATCCTTACCTGCAGGTGGAGAACAGCACAGGTCTGATGGTCCAGCGAGGCGGGATCACGACCCTGACCTCCGCCAACCTCAGCGTCTTCAGCAACCTCGACATCCGCGACCCGCAGGAAGTGACGTTCGAGGTCTTCCTTCCACCCAAACACGGCGTGCTCTGCTTCAACGAAGGCCAGAGCGAGACTGTGACAAAAGCAGATGCGATTTCCATATTCACCCAGCGAGACTTGGTGGTGGGACGCCTGGCGTATCACCACGACGGCAGCCACGAGCTGCTGGACGGCTTCAACGTGACGGCAAGGGCGAGAGAGAGGAGCACAGAGAGGCGAGTGGACAGAGGGAGGAGAGAGGTGCATCTGGACATCGGCGTGACGGTAAAAATATACCTGGAGAGTCACCAGAGGCCGCCGACCGTCGTAAACAACCGTCCAGTGGTGGTGGCCGAAGGACAGAATGCGTCTGTAAGCAGAGAACATTTAGAGGTAAGCCAAGGCAAGACCCTACACTTTGCACTTAATCGTAGGGTTACTAAGTATACGCTGTGACCTGATTTAAAGTTAGGTTTGTTCCCAACACAGAGGACACATTTGCAGATTTTAACTTGTTTTTTGTTCTGTTTCTTTTCCATCAGGTGGTCCATGAGGACAGCCAGCCCTCAGAGATAGTTTTTACTGTCCAAAGTCCTCCTACGTTGGGCATCATTGAGAGATTATCCACTAATAACCAGCTCCAGAACATCAACGGAGACCTCCAGCAGCACCTCCATAAGGTACAAGCTTTTGTAAGGTCTGAAACTCATTATGTGGAGCAGAAATCTCCAATATGTTCACCATCTACTGTGATCTAAGTTTGTCTGTCTGCCGTTGAGTGCTGGGCAGATATTCCACAGAGAGTTTGTCAGGGTGCTTTTGCTGCCAACAGCGACTTATCAGCAACTTAGAAAGTCTTCTTAATCGTCTTCTTACTGTGAGTCTGGGTGTTCAGCACAAACACAAGATTAAAAAAAGTGGGAAGAGCTCAGCTAGAAAAATGTGATGTCACATATTTTCAGGCACAACTGTTGTTTCATAACGTGGATCAATGTGTGACAACAGCTGTGTGCCGTTGTTTGCCTACATTGTCAGCACTGTCGATCAATACTGATCAAACTATATGTACACAGCCCCAGTGAAGGACACTTGTTGAGTTTTTGGCTGTTAAACATACTGGTGATTACTTTTAAATACACAAACTGATTCACACTAAAGAATTAGAACCATATGTTTGGTTAAGTTTGCAGACATAAACTAGAAATATAGCTTGCTGAAGAAATAAACTTTTTTTGACTTTAAGTTACAAAACACAACAGAAGTTTATTTTTTCTTAACAAACTGAACATAAAATATCTTTATTGTTTATTAAACTTGTAGCTGGCAGATATGCCTGGAACCATTGTCACATTTCTTTTTCCATTTTCTATTTTATTTTGAATAAATTATGACCTAACTGGCCCATGGACGTCATCACTTTAAGGGTTTGTTTGTTTCATTTCTCTATGCAGGGTACCAGAGGGCAGTCAACAACTTCCTTTACCCAGGAAGATCTCAACCAGGGACTGATCATCTACCTTCAGCAGGCTGCAGGAAGCACCAATGACTCGGTTCTGTTGGAAGCAACCAATGGGGTGACAAAGGTCGGACCTATCAGGCTGGAGATGGACATCATCCCAATCCTTCTCCCTCTACAGGTACGATGAACCCTCAGAGAAGGAGAGAATGTAAAGGAAGGGACTTCATTTTCCAATCTGATAACTTGGAGGTGAACTTACCAGTCAGTCCCAGTGATCCACCAACAAACCGGTCTTTTCTTCTGTTCATTGATCCTGCAGGTGTCTGTCTTGACCCTGGATGAGGGCTCCTCCCTGCCGCTGACCCCAGACATCATCAAAGTTGCCAATCATCACTTCTCAGCGATGAACTTCTTGTACCAGGTCATCGTTCCACCGCGATATGGACACTTGGAGCACAGCCGGATCCCGGGGATGCCCATCACCGCTTTCACACACACTGAGGTTTGACTGAGCACACAGGAAAGCAATGTGGAGCAAAGAAAATCCACATCTTACCTCCTGTTTGGCTGCACAATGGCAGACGTGCTTCCTTTGTGCCATAAATCAAGCCTTTGTTTACATGTCACACACAACTAGAACCGCTCTGAACCACAACACTGGGATTATGCTGCGATCATAACACTGTACAATCAGTGTTGTTTATTCATAAGTGTTTGCATCTTTAATAAACCTTTTCCCTTGAGTTCATCATAAGGAAAGTGACTCTTAAAATGTACTTCATCTCTTCTTGTTATCAAAGAGCAGCTAGAAAGTCTTTTTTCACAACACCTCTTAAAAAGGTATGGGAAATATGTGTTAATATGCTTTCTGAAACATTACACGTCAGTCACTTTCCTCTGACCCATCGATGAGGTTTTGACACATACAGTATGTATCTGATTGATTTCTCATTGCATTAAATGGAGCACTCAGCTCTGTGATAAAATCCATTCTGTTGTTTTGTCAGTTATTATTTGATCAGGCGACGTTGGAATCAATCTCGACTCGTCTGTTTCCAGGTTGAACGCGAGTACATCTCCTACATACACGATGGCAGCGACACGCCAAGAGACAACTTCACCATTGTGGCCAATCAGACTGAAATCAGGAAGCACAGTTTGCCCTGCACCGTCCAGATCCACATCACACCCGTCAACGATGAGACTCCTGTTGTCACAACCAACCACGGCCTGAAGGTGGGAAACGCCCCCTAGGACACCTTCACAGGAAGAGTAGACATAATTATTAGTCTCAAATTAGGTAAACGAGAGGCTGAATGTGGAAGTAGATTAACAAATTTTCTGCACTGTCTATATGGTTTGATGTTTTTGCTGCTTCGTGATGCTGCCACCACCATGCTTCATGGTGGGGATGGTGTGTTTGGGATGATGTCAGTCCTGGCTTTATATCTAGCATACATAAATGAGTTTGGTCTCCATCTTCTTGTCTGACAGCGAGCGTGTATTGGTCTAAATATCAATAACCCTCCTGTTCTTCCCATCCTTCCATGCTTGTGGTTGTCTAGGTGTGGGTGGGTGCGGTGACAGAAATAACCACCGATGATCTGAGCGCTGAGGACACCGACACTCCACCCGAGGGGCTGGAGTTCGTCGTCACACCACCCAGCAATGGCCACTTGGCACTGAAGAGCGCCCCATCTAGACACATCCTGAACTTCACCCAGAACCACATACAGAGCAGGCAGCTGGTGTTCGTGCACAGTGGTGAGCCCACGTCGCTCTTTGCTGTATCTTCTTCGATTCTGGTTAAATACACGAGTAAACCCTTTGTTTCCTCGTACAGGTGCACTCTTGGGTGGCTTTCACTTCCAGGTGAATGACGGCGTGAACTTTGCTTCTCGCCAAATCTTCAGCACAACTGCCCAGTCTCTGGTCCTCACCCTGCAGAGAAACCACCCCATGGAGGTCTACCCAGGTAGTAGCTACACACTGAGCCTCACGAATTCACACTGATGCTCAAAGCCCACTTAAGTGTAGTGACTGAAGGGCATTGGTGGAAGAAGTATGAAGTAAATGTACCAACACAGCAAAAAAACACAAGTAAAACAACTGCATTAAAAATCCTACTATGTAAAAGTACCGAAGGAAAAGCCCCATTACGTGGTTAAAGTATTAGAGTAAAAGTACAGGACTAGTCTCTCTGACTTTAGTGGCGCTAAACCCATAGACTCATAGACATCTGAAACGAGACGGACAACACCCGTCTTTTATGTTGTACTTTGAAAGCATTTTATATTAAAATCTTCATCTTTAGAATAAGTAAGGCAGTCGTTAAATTCAGAAAGTACAATATTTGTCTCTGCAATGTTGTGGAAAAGAAGTACAAAGTAAATGGAAATACTCAAGTAAAGTTCGAGCACCTTACGTGTACTTAAGTACTTGAGTAAATGTACTTAGTTACTTTTCATTGCTGAAGGGAGGAGGGGTCTTAAAGACATTTTTCCCATGCTTATGCATCTACATGGGTTTTTTTTACACACTGGAAACCCTTTAGAAACAGTCATAACTATATAAAGAGACTATCATAACACTGTGAATGAGACAGAAGCAGAGGAGAGCTACAGTGCAGTAATGTAGGACATAACAAAGCCACTAGGGGGCCTCACTGCTCTGAGCATTAAGTTTCTGCTCATCTCACAGCCAGACTATTTGCCTACAAAAGCAGTTTACAGTTCCTCTGTACCTGGTTAGTTCACGGCTGACTGAGCTTCTTTAAACATGTGAGGCTTACGTGGTTCTAAGTTTACACACTTATCAGCTGTCAAGGTGACCTGAGTGCAGCTGTTCTTCTGATATGCAGCCACCTGTGGACCATGTGATGCTGCTGTTAACACCTTGAACAATCGACCGTCGGTTACTTGTAGATAAAAACATGTAACCACATACTTACCCAATGCTAGTGAATCATGATTTTGACGTGAGTGACTTATGAGATCCAACACATGACTCATAATTATTCATTTGTTCATTTTAGCCACATGGACTTCTGTCCCTGCTTCTCTATTGATGATGCATTTTGTCAAGAACATTCATTACCTCCTGTTTTCAGCTTTTCTTCTCTCCCACTGTGTCTTTGTTCCTCTCTAAGGTTCTGTGACACCAATCACAGAGCAAGAGCTTCAGGTGGTGACCAACAACATCAGTGACTTCAGGAGAAACCAGTCTGTGGTCTTTGCAGTGACTGCTCCTCCTAAACTGGGCCGCCTGGTCCGACGTATGGCCGACAACTCTACAAGGAACGTTTTCACGTTCACACAGAGCATGGTACGGCTGTTTGTGTCTGCATGTGTGTTGGACCAGCCTAAAATAAAATTAAACTGTTTCTTTCTCCTCATGTCTTCGTCTCACTGCCCTTCAGGTGAACGACGGCGTTCTCCTGTATGATCAGAACAAGCCAGAGTCGGTGGGATGGTCGGCTACAGACTCTTTTTCTTTCACCGTGTCTTCCCCTCCTGCTTTTCTTCCCCCGCACACCTTCAGCATCTTAATCTCCTACCAAGCCAACGAGCATCATGACAACCCTCAACACAAGACCCGACTCCTCAACAATGCAGGTACCGTCTCTCTTTAGATAGACAAACATCTTGTAGCAGGAGGACTATAAGCTCTAGAGGATTTACTGTCTGTATCCGTCCTTTAGGTGCGGTGGTGGCCGAGGGAGGCAGGGTGATGATTGACAGAACGAAGCTCGATGCCACGAATCTCCTGGGAAAAGTCCCGGAGACCCAACGGAAAGACCACCACATAATGTACCGCGTGATTTCTCTGCCTCGCCACGGGGCGCTGTCCATAAGAGGACATAACCTCACCAGGTGCTGAAATGAACACTAAAATAAAACGTATTAGTGTAACACCAGCAAAAGAAAAGAAACAGAAAAGGTTAAGACCAACACAGACACCTGCTGATGTAATCTGATTTCTCAAAGTAAAGGACACGTCGCTTGTTTCTATGTGTTTCATTATAAGTGTCACATTACAGTAAATGATATAATTATTCTTTGCAGCCTCCACACATTTAAGTTCTCTGTCTGTGTTTTTTTTTATTGTAGTTTATTTAAAGCAACCTTACAAATATGGAAATTTTAAAACAGCTTTTTTTGCTCAACTCTTCCCAGGAACCAACCAGACTTCTCTCAGGTCACCCTGAACAAGTTCGGCATCACATACGTCCACGATGACTCGGAGACGACCAACGACAGCTTCACGTTCCGGGCCTGGGTGGCTCCTTTGGATCTCTCCTCCTCGTCCTCCTCATCATCCTTGTCTGCTTTTTCCTCAGACTCCTCCTCCTCTGTCACCTCCTTTTCGCCTCTCTATTCAGCCTCATCGTCCTCCTTTTCATCGTTAGACACGGTTTCTCACCGCCGCGCCAAAGACAACATGGCGGTGACGGAGATGTTCAACATCACGGTGACGCCGGTCAATGACCAGCCGCCTCTGATCAGGAGCAGATCCCCCAGCATGAAGGTCGTAGTGGGAGAGAGAGTCGTGCTCGGACCCAACAACCTTCAGGTGGGCCAGTGCAGAGCACCATTGTCCATTCTGCTGCAGTTTGTGGTTATGCAATCTGCCCTCTCTTTGGAGATGTTTTCTGTGTGTGAATATTCCCTTTAACATCTTGTGAAACATCCTCCTTGACACTCTGCGTGTCCAGGTTGAGGACCATGATACGCCTCCAGAGGAGCTGCACTACCTGGTGATCAGTAAGCCCAACAACGGCTACCTGACTCTGGGGGAGAGACCGGAGCCGGTGACCTCCTTCACCCAATACGACATCAACCACGGCCGGCTGCACTTTATACAGAAGGTAAAGGAAACTTTACTGCTACAGTTTCATGTGTGTGATATAAGGATGTACGTTTACAATTTGGAAAAAAATGTTAAGATCCTTAACTTAAGTAAAAGTACCGTTACAGCAGTGGAAAAATACTTAATTACAAGTAAAAGTACTGCAAGAAAAAAGTGTTAAAATCAAAATATAGTTATAGTATAAAACTACTTTGGTTCCTCTGACTGATGTATTTTTTTAACACCATTAGATTATTTTCACTGAAGCATCAGAGTGAAAAGAGGAATAAAAGGTCTGATACAGAAAAAATGATTTTAGATTTTGGATCTTCTCTTTAGCCTCCTTACTTACTTTACATCACTGTCCATGTGAAGCCCAAATGTATGTCAATTTGTTGTAATTATATGAGGTTGATCGTTGTTCATTTCTGTTCCTTTTAGGGTGATAAAGGAATAATGTTGTAGAGATTTAAAATGTGCAGCATGTCTTATTGTTATACAAGTTGCATCATTGTCCTGAGATAACGCTGTTAAAATGTGTTGACAGTTTTTCGTTGGCTGTTTTTAATTCCATTTCCTGTTTCTTTTCTCCGTCCTTCCCACGCCTCCTTGTTCAGGGTGAGCCCTCGACAGGAGTTTTCTACTTCAACGTAACCGACGGTCACCACCGCCCGCTCTACAAGCTGTTCAGTTTGGAGGTGATCAAGCCGTCGGTGTTCATGGTGAACAACACCGGCCTGTCGCTGCGCCAAGGCCGCACCGCCGTGGTTCTAACAACCAAACAGCTCGCAGCTCAAACCAACGGCCAGGGTCAGGCCGACATCTCCTACACGGTCACCAGTCACCCTCGCCACGGACGCATCGCTATCAACGACCAGGAGGTCACCACCTTCCGCCACGAGGACCTCCAGTTCGGGCGCGTCGTCTATCACATGACCGAGCTCAGCGAATCGGAGGACAGCTTCCAGATTTCAGTATCAGCCTCGTCTCCGGGTGTCGACTACGGAAATGTGACGGCGCAGACGGTGAAGGTGACTGTGCGACCTCTGATCTACCTGAGAGAGACGATTCGAGTTCCCAGTGGCGTCCCTGTGAAACTGGGGAAAGCCATGATCGATGCCTCCGAACTCGCCAGGATCAGTCGAGCTGATCCCGTGTTTGAGGTTCTGTCTCCACCAAAACATGGCAAACTAGTCAAGGTAAAGCTGCTTCTAGGAATCCGTGAAATATTCCTCCTCTCTTTCATTCATTGCGTACAATGTGGCACTGGTCAAAACTGAATACAACAAAGCTGGAACGACTCTGTGTTGCAGATTTCAAATGTTAAATGTCTGTTCTGAGCTACTGTTGACTGTGTTGTGTCTTTGTGTGCAGATGACCTACGACCCTAAACGAGGATCAGAGGTCCTGAAGTCGTTCACGTTCAGAGATGTGATGCAAGGCCGAGTCGCCATCGAGGAGACTCTCAGCGACAGCCAACTCAACAACAACGAATCCAGAACAGCCCGAGGCCACGCTCCCGCCACGCCCCTCAACGATTCCTTCATCTTCCTGCTGAAGGCTGGAACCGTTCAGCCGGCGAAGGGCGAGCTTCACTTCACCATCCTACCCCACCACCAGATGCGTCACGGCACAGGCGGTTTCAATAAAGGAGACGGCGGAAGTCACGATCGCACGACAACCCACCAGCCTGCACGCAACAGGACGACTACTGCCACCACCACCACTGCTGCTGCTGGAGGAGGGAGAGGAGGTGGGCGAGGAGGATCCACGACGCACAGTGAGGTCGCGGTGAGTTTGGCCCCACACATCTTGTCGCACAAGAACCACAACAGGACACAGCACAAGCCGAGGCCTCACAGCCGCTGGGGGAACCACACTCGCAGTGGGAGTCACGGAGGAAGATCCGGCAGCAGCGCAGAAGGAGCGGCGGGAGGAGGCGGCCACGGTCACGCCCCACATCCCCACGCTCCTGTCGAAGAGAAACACAACCCGATGAACCCTCCCGACATCCAACCGGTTCACGTCGAGGTTCTCCCTCGCCCCGCCTCCGACCCCCTCCTCATCATCCTGCCGCTGCTGGCCTGTTTGCTCCTCATTGTGATCCTCGTAGTTTTGATTCTGGTGTTCCGCCACCGCAAGGAGAAACAAGCCCGGCTGCGGTTCATGCAAGAGCTCGCCGCGGTGCCGTTACCCCCCGAGGAAAGCCCTTATCTGGGCCGGTCGGAGCGCAGCGTGGCCATGCCCTCTGTGGTGGTCACCCCGCTCGGCTCTGCAAGCTGTCCGACCTCCCCCAGGATCCCCATGAGCCCCAGGAGGAGTCTGGCCCCTGGGATGACCTTCTGGGGACCTTTTGAATCCACTCTAGCAGGCGGCGATGGGAATATTAGGGTCTGTAACAGCAGTGGAAGAGATAACATAACTTCTAGTCCTGCACTCCCGGCTGTTCCTGCAGGATTCAAGACCTCTGTGAGATCTCGGTCACCGACTCTCAAAGACAACCAGTACTGGGTCTGAGGGAAGCACTTCAGAGAACACTGTGCCTTAGAGGTGTACTTTACAAGGTTAGAAATGATGTTTGTCATCTCTCCAGTGAACTTAAGGCACATCTGACATTTACTTCTTGAGAAGAGGACAGAACGATGTAAAGTGTGTGACATGCTACTGTAACTGAACACATCTTGTGCTAAAACAACCTCCTACCATCTAGCTGCTGTGTCTAAGAGACGCGAAATACTGCTCAAGGTAAACTGAGTGAACTACTGCTGTTTAGGAAGCTGCTCTTCTTTGTCTGTTCAACATGTTGAAGTTTGTTTTTAGTTCCGTTAAACTGCATTATACGAATGTGAGCACCGATGGACGCCGGTCTCTGACTAACACCTCCAGCTGCAATATTTTTGAACGCGTCTCTGAAAAGGGAAGCGAAACATAGACGTGTCGTATTCGTGTTAAATCACATTCTCAGAAGCTGAAACTTGAATTAGCACAGACGTGAGTTAATAATATGACTGGTAGCTGAACTTCTCCTCTGCAGCTGTACAGATCTGACGCGTCTTTGAAACCTCGGTGGACCGTCAGCTGGTCGACCATAATGTGTTTGTGCACGATAATAAAGGTACTGTAAGCGTCCCAGTGTGGCGTTCACCCGTATTGCACAGACACAGGAGTTATTCTCTGTCCTGCTCTTTTCTGTGTCCTTCGTTCGAGTCGAGGCAGTGAGCTGTTGTGTAACTGCTTCTGATAGTGACGTTCTTGACCCCGTTATGCCTGCATCTGTATGCCATGCACTGTGATTTTTTTTTAAAATAAAGTACATTTCTTGAAGACTCCAGTGTGTTCAACTCAAACATGAGTGCAAATTATCAGTCAACAAAGTGACAAATACCGTTATTTCCGGACGATTGAGCGCCTGAATATAAGCACTGACTTTGAACAGAAAGAAGAAATTGTACATATACAGGTCGCATTTGTCTCTAAGCTACACGTGTCCACGTTGTAACACGAGATATTTACACAGATATATGTTTTCAACTTTTAATTAAATACGCAACATGCACAAATCTGTAGATGCTTTTTTCTGAACAGTTCCTGCAACACGGCTGGTTAAGAAAATAAAAACTACAGCAGCCGACCAGGAAAAGTCATTGATCGCTATCTTCATCTTCCTCCTGCACTAAAACCACTGAAGTCAGAGTTACTTCGTCACTTCCTCAGTCTCTCTTTCATTGATGCTCTCAATGTCACTCGTAAAAATCCATAAATCAGCCGCATCATTATTTAAGCCGCAGTGTTCAAAGCGTGTGAAAAAAGCAGCAGCTCATAGTCCAGACATTACGGTAATTTAAATTCGTCTTCTCTGACTCAGATGATCTTCCTTAAGTGTATTTTTCTCTTCACTAATGACTGATTCTAACAAGCAGTCCACCTGTTTACAACGAAGATGCACAGTTTAAAAGCCGAGCGTTCGAACGCATTAACGGCTGACTAACGATTAGTTAATGTGGTAATTACATAAACTGTCTTGTAGTTGTTGCGTAAGTTGTGAAAGTAGGCCTCCGGCAGCAGAGCGACTCCATAAAAAGGCTTTCACAGGCTCTAACCGTGTAGGTAGATGAAGCTTTTCCTGTTTCTAGATGTCTACTGACACATTTATGCACCAAAATACTGAATGTGTGCAAATAATCCTGAATAAAATCATCAAGGTCTAGCTTCTATGGTGGCTTTTCAAACTTTATGTGCAGGAATCACCCCACGAGCAACAGTAGCTCAGAGTTTTAAATATCAATGGATGAAGTGAAGCCTGTAGAGAGCAGAACAGTCGGAGAGTTTGATTTAAATCTAAAACAAACAAACCCTGATCTATGAATGATGTGTGAGAACTGTCTTACTAATCTGCTGGAATGATACTGAAAACACATTAAAGAGGAGAAATGAGCGGAGAAGGAGGCAGGTCTAAATAATGAAGGGCCTGCGGCGGCAGTAATCTGATCTGCAGTCTGTGAACTCTGGTGTCAGGTATCAGCGACCTGACTGCTGCTGTCTCCACAGGAAAAACAAGTGATAACAGTTTTCTTTGGGGAAACGCTGCACTGACCGCACACAGGAAGTGGATTTTATTACGCTGGCTGAATCTCACTGAAGCTCTCAGACTTCTAGAATAATCTAAAGATTTTTCATCTCAATAATAATAATAAAAATTCTATCTCTGGCGTTTCCTTCATCACAATCCTGTACTGGAAAATCTAAATGATCTACTTGGAAAACAGTCAACAACACAAACGCACGATTGAAATAAATTCTAGTTTCATTTATTTGCTGAAATCCTGTCCCATCGTGTTACACTTAAACGCTTGTAGTGATCCTAGTGAGTTACATGTCTGAGGAACACCGTTAAAATACAACAACCAGGACGGCGGTTGGTCCCATTATAAACACTGTAAAGTAAAAATCCCAGGAGAGGAACGTGAAGTCGAGGCTACAACATTTAGCAGAGCTACACTATGTGAGTGTAAATCTGACAGCAGCAGACACTGTAAACCGGTGTGATGCACTGAGCTGGTTCTCGCAGCATCCTGCGTTCCCCTCGTCCTGCAGCCTCCTTCTGCTTAAATACGAGGAGTTTCTCTAAGTCAGGCTCATTAGATCTTTAAACACTAACAGTTCTGAGGTTAACGCCACAAATCCACCTCTGACGCTGAGAATCTTCACCTGGATTGTCACTTTCTTTTTCCAAACAAAAACCTTTGCCCTCAAAAGAATTCAAACTATGTTATAATCACATAAAGTCCACGTGATCTGGGTTCAGGGTTTCCACGCCAGGGAGCATCCATCATATGAAAGCGCCTGTACCCCGAGGCCGACCTCTGACCTCCTCTGGAATGAGCCGGGAGACAGATGTGGACCTCAGGTTTTATTAAAACATCTGGAGAAGAAAAAAAAAGAGAGAAACTGTGGTGCTACTTCCCAAAAAAGCAGACGGATGGTTAAAAAAAGACTAAAAATGCGGAACAACGGAGGGTTTCAAATTAAGACATAGCAAAGGTGTGACAGCGTCTGAGCTGTGAGGGAGGTTAGACGTTAAAGTCGGTCAGATTTCAAGCTGTAATGGAAATCCAGCTACATCAGGGGTGGAGATGATGCCCGCGCTCCCTCGTTCCGCAGTCATGTGCCGTCAAAGCAATACTGAGTGGGTCATTCAAGTAAAAACAAACACGTACTGAGATAACAAAAAACCATTAAATTCGTTTAGTCCCGTCTTGTAAGCGTTTAAACATCCAGTTTCCTTTCTTTGTTTCTGTCGGGTTAAACGTGCTTCCCTGATGGAGGCCGTCCATTAACTGGCGAGGCAGCGGTCACGTGACCCCCAAACCGGGAATCAAACGGCAGCCCCCGTCACATTGAGAGCAGCTGTTTTAAATATTTCCTGCAGTCCCGCTGAGTTGCAAGACGTGCCTGGAGCGTCAGCAGAATCCCTGTTACTGGTACATTCATCAGAGCTGCTCAGACAATCCAAGAAGTTGTCATGGGGCCTGTGTCTTTTTCAAAGAGTGGTGTATTTCTTCCAGCGCTCGTACCAGGCGCAGGATCCATCACAACACAAGTCTCCAAGGTTTGCTCTCCTAGAAGGACAATAGGATGTTCTCCGTCACCATCAAGTCCCATTCCCTCTTCAGGCTTCCCCCCCTCGCGTCCTTGAGGCCTTTGTAGTCCAACCTCCGTCTTATCTTCTCGTCCTACTGGCCGTCGTCGTATCTCTGCAGCGCGTCCTCCAGCTTGGCGGTGATCTTCTGGAAGAAGCCGATCTGCTGGCGGAGGTGGTGCTGCATCTGCGAGCGGAAGTCTCGTACGCGCGTGCGGTGGAAGTGCTGGACTTCCGCCAGCGTGGCGCAAGAAATGATGTTGCAGCGGTCGTGGAGGTCGCCTTCCTGCTTCGGACAGTCCTTCACCTTCGTCAGCGCACCTGGAGGAAGACGGCGGGAATGAGAGAATGAAAAAGTGTCGCAAACTAACACATAGAGAGCCGACATTAGACTGGAGGGCGGGATATTTCTCATTTGACATTTGTGATAAATAAGGATGGTAAATTCAAGGTATGATTTCATGATGTGATTGATGCAGGACGTCTATCTGAGGCAGCCTTAACTAAAACATGAAGCCAGAGTCTGGAGACAGTTAATTAAGCACAAAGAAAAATAACTCAACTTGACGTCTTTACATTCATTTTCTTCCTCTAACTAATTTGATGGTGAACCTTCACAGAAATAGGTAGGTTTCTTGCAAACACTCAGACGTCATATGTTGTTTGTTTTTTTCAAAAATTGCACGATTTTTTTTCTGCACATTAAACTTTGAGGCTATGTTTGAACAACAATATCTCAGGAGCTATTAAAGATCAAATCCAGACATTTTCACTGTTCATCATGTCACTGATTCAGAATCTGTAACACTGAACACATAGATAAAACCAGCATCTGATTGTAGGTGAACTGAAAAACTGTGAAACTGTCATGAAAAGTCCCATCTTTACGCAAACATTAACCAAAATACCGATAATGCCGAAGTCACCTCGTGATGCTTTCTGAACCTCGTGTAGCTGCACGCCACAGAAATCATAAACAAAACTGAAAAGTCTGCAGATGTAATGTGGGTTCTGAGAAAACATCAACAAGAGCTGAAGTTTAGTTTATTTTATTGCTTCCAGCTGTTTGTAGGAGTCGTTCATCTGAGTTTATTAAATACCTGCAGCATCAGGATCCATGTGAGAGCAGCATCAGCTTCATTCAGAACCTGTAATTATAGTTTATCCCTGACAGTCCAGGTTAGAACAAAACAAGTCTCACCTGTCTCCACCTCAGACAGGTGAGACAGTTTATGAGCTGCAGTTAAATCTGTCGTCAGCTGGCAGACTCAGTGTTTTGTTTGTCACAATACGCCATGTACTGCTGCTCCCTCCATCACTGTGGTGGTGATTCTGTGTTAATGAAGCAGTGAGGAACAGAACTGTAAAGGTGGTTCAGTCTGATTACAACAGATGGATGAAGCCAGCAATGTCACACATCTTATTTCTGAACATTGACTTATTTTTAGGCAAAATAAATGAAATAGTCATCATGTCTGTCAATCTAGACTACTTAGCCAGGAAGTTGAATTCCAGGAGCCCGATCATGAAATAGTTTTTGTAAAGCTGAGCTGCTGACCGCATCATTTTCCACGTCTCCTCGAAGCTGCCCGACGCCCGGCCGTGACTCAGACTGTTTGCTGTGACTCAAGAGTTTTTTTGGGGGGAAGTGGCACCGTTCAGACAGACCTGAGCAATGAAAGACGGACGAGGAGGAAGCGAGAGGAAAGCGCTAGCGTGGCTGAACGGGGAGGAAATGACGAGGAAGCTGCTGCTGACCTCTCCGACTCTCCTCCTAGATCACATCAAATCTGCACAAGTGCAGCAATGAAGTGAAATCAACTTGAACTTTGCTCCTGCCGAGGCGATTACCGAGCAGTAATCTGAACTCTTGTACCGCGGTGCTGGTGGGAAACTTGTACCGCTCCGCAACCCCCTCTTTATATACACCTCCCCTCTTCTTCTTCGTCTTCGTCCTACCACCAGGAGGAGGGAGGAAAAGACGGGGAAGAAAAAGAGGAGGAGGAGGGGGAACCTAATCCTGAGACTGCTCCATTTTGCATTCCTGCAGTCCCAGGGCAACATAGGACAAGAGGCCCAGGAATCTCCGCTCATTCAAATCAGATGTAGCCTTTGGACCTCACAGACAGAACGAGCAGAGGCGGCTGATACTGTACAAAGACATCTAGGTCAGCAAAGCACTCCACCTAAAGCGCCTTTGACTCGCTGCACTGTTGCTTCTCCCAGTTTAGCTGCTGGTGGAGAAGCAGCCGAGCTCCACACGGGACCGACAGATAGCCGTGGAATGCAGAGATAGCGCCGAAGGTCGATGTGTGTGAACGTAAAGCCTCTGGAGGCTCGTTGTCTTTGGTATGCTGCTGAGTCAAACCGTTTTCCTAATTCTTCATCAAAGCAGCTGCTGTGGGAACTGGGACGAAAGCAGCCGTCTTCTGTTAAAGGCAGTTATTTCACAACCATGACAGCGGAGCGTTAAGGCAGCGAGTTCATGGGCGTTGACAGCAGAAGACCCAGAGTATTGATCCCCACTGATAACATGATCTACTTCAGGCTGGGTAGAGTTCAAGAGTTTTGTCCTCACGACACCATTTGCATAAATCAGAACCCTGTTTACCAGCTAGTCATCTAAGCTGCGTCGTGTTTTTGGCGTCTTCATCTGGTAAAAACCATCCAATCCACTTTAAAAAAGAATCTGCTAGAAAAATGAAAATCAATGGTAGTTATTGTGGCGTGGGGATCAAATCGTTCTGAAGTTGGGATTCACTGGACTACTGTTCCCTTCCCTCCATGAATCAACCAAACCCAGAACAGTTTGTTTGCTCATACAGGATCACTCACAATGGCTTCCACAAATGAGAAACATGTGGGTTCCCGAGGCCGACGACACTGGCTTGTTGGAACAATGACCTATAGATGTGTTTCTTCTGGGTCTGCCTCAGCGGTAAAGATGAAATGTTTCAGTCAAAGATTACAGCTTGGTGAGGGTTTGCAGGATTTTCCTGGCTCAGGATGGACCTTTGATGGGGTGACTAAGCAGGACGGTCAGATCAGTGAAGCTCTGAGCACTGAGTGTGTGTCACCTCACATGTGAGAAGTATTTTCCTTCTGTCTCTGGCTCCCAGTTCACAAAACTGGTTTGAAAACTGTCAGTAAATTCTTGTCATTTCACTGCTGCTGATGAAAAAATCTTTTAAAGAGCACCTCAGACCTCTTTGATGGAGCCAAAGCTTCCCTTACTCATGAACAACAACACTGGGTTTGGTTCACATCAGAGTGTCTCATTTGACTCGAGCACTGGTTGAGTCACTGTGACACACTTTTAATATCGTCTGCGTGTTTTCACAAAATACCACAAGTTTCCCAGGAGATCTTTCTTCATAGAGAGATGTGCTGATATTAACTTATCAGGAAACTTAAGAAATCTTCTTAACACGAGCTCATTACTCAAAACTTAAGCAACAGGAAGTGAAGCAAAGGAAACGTCCAGCGCTGTTGAAGGTTTGCGGTCTTTGCCGGACAAAAGACAAAGTGTTGTTCGTCAATCGAAAAGGGAGGTGAAGCCCTGTCAGTCACAGGGACTATTGCAATTCAGGCTGTTTCCATAGTTTGGAGCCGTGATTGTGTCTGGAGACCAGAGCTCAGCGGACTTTAGAAACAGTGCCTCCAGGTTTGGCAAATGTCTGGACGTTGCGTGCCAGGAGCAACTCCCTCCTCCCAACCTGCAGGGAACTAACAAGCTAACTCCTCTGCAAATCCTTTGTAAATGTCTGTGCATGTGTGTGTGTGTGTGTGTGTGTGTGTGTGTGTGCGTTTTCAAGTGAGCGAGCACTCACAGTACCCGGAGTCCTACAATGGGCCGTGGGTTTCAGTTTTCGACCCAGATTGACAGTGCAGTTCGGTAAATGAAAACAGATGTTGCTCTTGGTTAGGAAACAGTCAAAATCTGGGTCTGTGGATATCGTCTTCCTTTGTATTGACAGGACTGATAGATAGATAGGGAGGCTACGGGCTGGACGGCTTTCAGAGACACTGTTGTTCAATCGTTTTTGTAATGAAAGTTAAAATAACGAACTCTGTGAGTCTCTAGTTTTAGACTGAACTACCGTCTGCAGCGACGGGCCTCCTGTCAGTCACACAAACCTTTCATTTCATGTCCCTGCAAAAACATGAAGTAAACACTCTGCATGCTTGGTCCTGCGTCTGCCTCCTTTCTTACAAGCACTGTGGAGGTTTAATGCATTTTTCTGTCAGTATGTAACTGCTTTTGCTTTTTTCCATTGTTCACCACAGCAGCGTCGTGAGCGATGCACAGTTGTTGTTTTTCCAGTTTGTGTGTTCAGACTGTTTTCCTTCTACATTTATGCTACATGACAAACGCTGCATTAGGATCCAACATCAACACTTTCTCACCTTTCTGCACATGGATGATGTCGGGAAAGTTGGCCAGGTGTCCTCTGTAGAGGTCCAGCAGGTCAGAAATGGGGTCCAGGTCGTGTCGCGGCTGCTCAGCAAAATAATCTCCAATCGCCTCGTAGGCCTCGCCGGTGTAGGCGATGGCCTTGTTCAGGCCCGCTGAGTAGGCCTGCTGGTCCAGCTCGAAGGCCTGCGCCAGCAGTTTGAAGGACTGTCCCACCTTCTGGTACTCCTTCTTGAACCCCGCCATCTGCTTGTGGGCGAACTCGTTGATGGTGGCGTTCACCACCACGATGTTCTCGTCCATCCTCTTGGTGAACGTCTTGAAGCCTTCCATCTTGCTCTCCACCTCCTGGAGGTCCAGCGGCACAGCGGGCGTGCTGACGGAGGAAAACAGTCATTTAAAAACATCCTCTGATTAAATCAAGCCTTTAACTTTATTAACTTGTCCATGAGGTGTATTTTTAAATACTAGAAGGTGCATCATGGAAAAAGTCACAGTTAACATCATGCCTGAACTTTTCCACTCTGAAGCTGCAGAGCACCAACAACGCAGATTCAGACTTCTGAGATTTCATATGTTAAGAAATCCATCCCATTAGGCTGTGTGGTTGGTCTTTCTATGTCATTATTCCTCAGAATCGGTTTCTTATCCAAACATGTAGGTAATAATGAATTTCTGAATAAATCCATTAATTGCTGTCAGTAATTTAACTGAATAAAAATACATTAACAGATGAAGCAGCAGATGAAGGTCATGCATGTCAGAAAACGGTACCAGAGCTTCATGCTGTTTCGTACTGGAGCAACCATGTTGGTCAGCACAGAGCATTGTGGGAGTTTAGCAGGAAACGGGCACCATCTGCTCTGAAGCTGAAGCTCAATGTGACAGCACCAACAACAGGTAAAGGTCGACCACTGATGCTTTTCCATCATGTCTGCATGCAGGTCATGTGATGTAGACCAGAACACTGACTGTGTTTTGATTGGTTGACTGTTGATAGATGAGGCTGATGACTATCAGGTAAGAAAACTGTTCAAAATGTGCATCCCTCATGTAAATACTGTATTGTGCTAATGTGTAGCTCAGAGCAGTCTGACAGTGTTTGGGCAGAGCTGAAGGCGAGCTGGTGTGCTTGAGCTGCAGCAGGTTGCAGAAGGTTGGGTGGAGGACTTCGTAGATCTGCACATTCTGAAGGAAGCAGCAGTGTAGGATTACTGCTACGCCATTTTAAGGAAGGAGGGGATTATTGTCATGGAGCAAAATTTCTAATCATGTCATTCTGAAACACAGATGAGTTTTCAGGGATTTAATCAGCGGCTGTAAAGTGACTTTATGTGGTTTCGTGCTGAAATTCTTTCCAACATCCCATCATCTTTACGACATGAACAGATCGTTCCTCTGTTCTGCTTATCGCTCGCTCGCTATCAGACACTCCTCAAGATGAAAGCGTTCAGTTACAGCACATTAAAACATGGACAACTGATAACAGCTTCCGGTTAGAGGGCAAATACCTTCAATCTTAAACTTTAATGCTGTTACAAAGTGCGCAGACATCGATTATTCTCAGCTTCATAAAGATAATAAACTGTATTAGACCATAATAAAGAGCGAGGAGGATTTCCGTCCACTCCTTGTTCACAACTGATTTTCAACAGCTGGGACTCAGTGCCTTAAGTCATAGTTCAGGATGCACTCCTGTTCCTTACGTCGTCACATATTGTGCTTCTATTTCTGGCATCAGATTGCCTACATTTCCCACAATGCCTTTTACAAGCTTCAGAGATCGAGCTGCAACTTAATTTATTCAGTCTGAGCTTGTATTAGTGACTCGAGCTGCAAGAATGTTTTACGAGCTACGAGAGCAGGAGCACAGCTGCTGGTAAAATCCAGTGATCTGACTTTCTGGTCTGTTTCCTGTTGCTCTTTATGCTTTCTCTACAGTACTGTTCTCCTTGTGTGACTTGTGAAAGCTGGTGGAAAATCCTGAAAGCAGTCCCTGCTCTTGGACGCCGAGCTCTTCTACATCAACTCTCCAGTAATTCAGAGAACATTCCTGCAGCTCAACTGGTGCTGCTGGAAATATCAAGATGTGACGCAATCCTGATTTTTCACACATGGTAACTCATTTACAAGCATGAATCCTAGATTACAGGCTGTGCAGTGAAAAGGAAAAACCTTTGTTCATCGCAGTTTTCTCCTTGTATCCATAAAGAATCACCAGGTCAAAGGCTACTCGGTGTCTGCTCCATACTCTGGTGTTTAGGACATCCAGGGTTCAAACCCTCAGAACCTTTTACCTGATTGTGAGGAAGAAGTTGGCCCCGACCAGCTCGTCCCTCTCGGCCTTCCTCTTGCCCTGCTTCCAGGCCTTCTCGTCGGCGCCGCATGTTAGAAAGTGCTGGAAAACGTCGCAGCGAGCCAGCACAGGGTGGCTGACCATGTGGTTCATCCACCAGATCAGACCCTTCCTCCTCTTGGAGATGAAGTCCTCCTCGAAGCGGCCCGTGGCCTGCTTCTCTGGCAGGTGGGGCACCGAGATGACGGGGAAGCGCTCCACGAGCCGGGCGTAGAGCCAGTCGAAATGCTTATACCTGAGGGGACAGTTGGGAAGATTCATTGGAACGAATTTGGAGACGGTTGGATGAAAAAGGACAGGAGCTACAAGGAAGCTTTTCCAACTAGATGGGGCTTAAAACGACCTACTGCCAAAGAAGCTATCTGAGAGGTGCAGAGGAAGGTAAAAGGAGAAACTCCAGATGGATGGAGTCCACAGATCTGGTTTTGCCATTTTGTGTGAACAACTGTGGCCACAAGACAAACCGCAGAAACATTTAAAGCGGGCTGGAGGAAGCGGTGAAGAAGTAAAGAGAGAAGACAGAGAAATGAGGCAACTTGTACCTGCGGTTGACCTGTATGTTGGTGTGCGTCGGGGTTAAACCGTAGGACATGTAGCTCTTCATGCCTTTGAACTTGGTCTGCTTGGTGGGGTCGTCTATGGTGCAGGTGAAGGGGTAGGGGTCCTCCTGCCACTCCGGTCCATGCTTCCCCATCACCACGCAGATCCTGTCCCCGTCCTTCACAAAAGCTGAGGCCTCCCCGAGCAGGAAGGCCTCCCCTCCGGACTTGACAAAGGTGGAGAACCTGTTGAGGTTCCTCCCCACCGTGGCCGAGCTCTTGGCCTGCTGCTGCTGCTGCTGCTGGGCACTGCCGCGCCCCGGCAGGGAGGTGGTCACCGGGTACAGGGGAGGGCTGCTGCCGAAACCCTGAGGGGCATCAGCTGCTGGAGAGGTGTCATCCCAGTCATCGTCCCAGTCGTCGTCGCTGCCCTGGCTGGTGTGGAAGCTGCTGCCACCACTGCCAGCCCCAAAGCCCCTCTGAGACTGGGAGTCAGGCGACGGGTGGGAGGCGTGGGTGGGGGTCTGGGTCTTGGCTTTGGGTGAGGAGAAGCCATTGTTGTTGGTGCTGGAGGTGATGTGGTCCCGGATGATCTCAACATAGGAGGCAGGGAAGAGGCCAGCCTCCCCCCTGCTGTTCTCCCCCTCCAGCCAGCCCTCCAGCTCCTCCTCGCTGAACAGAGTCACCAGCTCGTTCTCTGTTATGGAGATCTCTCCTGGGTTCTCAGAGTGGAAGTCATACAACACTCTGCCCTTCAGTGCCATGATTACAACACTTCTAATAAAACCTGTGTCTTTTTATTGCCTTCACTTCAAAGTTTCTCCAACAACTTGCTTTTCTTCCAGAGTTAAACCTCTCAGATCTGTCTGGCTGACGTCTAAAAAGCGGCAGCAGCGACAATTAGACCACTTTCCCACTTTTTTGTTCCAAATCTAACAAGCTTGTATCCGAGATCCATGCGCAAGAGAACAAGAAAAGAGCCCCGGAGTCTCGTATCCGACACCCACCTCCTCTCTTTCTCCGCTCTCAGATATCATTTGTTTCCATGCAGAACTTAATCCAAGTCGGAAAACGCAAACAAACAACAAAAGCGTCGTTTTTACGCACAGAAAGACGCCGGTGAGAAGTTTAAAACTGACAAAGACGCTGCGTAACTTGTTTCATTCCTCCAGATAAAAAGCCGGGGGGAAAGTCCTCTCCTGCTTTTTCTTTTTTTTCTTCTTCTTCTTCTCCTCTCCTTCTCTACCAGATGCTTGTAAGTTAAAGGCACCAGTCGGAACACGTAGTAGCCTGGCTGACTAACGGAGGGTGGAGCCATGGCAGCAAGTTCAGTCAAGTCAATGAATGCATACATGGAAAAAGCCACAGAAAGCCAGCGCGTCTGTATGTGACATTAACGGCCTCATTCTGCGCCTTTATTTAGACTCTGATGTCAGCTGGACTCATCTGTGAGCATGCCTTAAATTAATCATCTTTAATTGTGAATATAAAATCTGTATTTTTAGGCATTTAAAGTCAGTTTAGGGTTTTATAACAACTAATAATCTGATGATGGTCCATCAACCTGTTTGAGCATCATTAGAATTATTAAGAATATTCCTCTTTTTTAATAAGGAAAAAAATAATAAATATATAAATAATAATAAAAAATAAAGAACTTTATGATGCACAAATCAGACAGAAATCATTATGATCAGTGTCTAGACATTCTGCAGCTGTAACCATCTTCTTATGAATGCATTTCTGCTATTTCACTTCTCATTTCTTTCAGACAAGTCTATTATTATTTTACTACAGTGTATTTAAAGAAAATACCTAAAGTTCCTCCTCGGCTGCTGGTTTAACCTCCAATAACTCGTCTCTGTGTGTCAGAGTCACATGTTCACAAGCTTTTTGCTCATTAAAATCACTCACATATAACTTTATACCACAGTTTGCTGCAGATGTGCAGATTTCTGAAGTCCATGGCGGCCTCTTTTTGCTCACTCCTCCCTGTTTGCTGCAGCTCGAGCACACCAGCTCACTGTAAAACTGTTTATTACACATGAAACCATCAACGTCTGAATCTGTGTTTTTAGGGCTGTCACTGGTACGCTGCAGTTTCCTGACGTTAACTGTTTAATTTAGTCATGATGTGCCTTCTAGTATAAAAACAAACCTTATTGAAATGTTAAGGAGGGAAAAAAATAGTTTTTTAAAACTTGCAAGTCGTATTTAGATTCATAATTTCAGGCAAACTTTAAAAACACTGAAAACATTTAGTGTATTATCAAACGTCTTTCTGCTTCCAGATTCAGGTATTATTTACACCATCACTGTGTTTAAATGGCAAAAATATTCAAAAAAAAACTGCACAAGTTGTTTCACTCATGACGAGACATGACCAAAAAATAAATCCTGATTTTCACCAGATGGGTTCTTTAAAAGTTTGTGTGCTGCCAGTAAATGTAGAAGTATATGGTCCATGACTTAAGGAGAAACTGAAACCTGCTGTAAATATTTAGCTCATTAGGAAACACGTTTATGGTCAAGTATCGTTTTGTTTAAATGGCCAAAAAATAAAAAATAAAAATAAATGACACAAGGTCTTTTTTTATTTCTCTCATGACATGAATTCCAGCGGATTAAAGAACATAACAAAACACGTCATATGGACCCATCAACACAAGAAAAATAGATTTTTACTGGAGGAGGCCTTTAAGATAAGATAAGATAAGATAAAATAAGATAAGATAAGATAAGATGAGATAAGATAACCTTTATGAATCCCACAGTGGGCAAATGTGCAGTGTTACAGCGACAAAGATAGAGCAAACATTTAAGGAATAAGGCATAAATGTAAAAATGAACCAAAATATACCAAAAAACCCCCATTATTGCACATGTCAGTGATATTGCACAGATTTTGTGATGAATAGAAATACTGATAGAGTTCTATTATACACAGAACATATTAATTTAACTTCAGACATAATGATTGGATTACCTAACCTGACACAAATAATTCAACACATACATATATTAAATGATATGATATATGATATATTATATATAAACTACATTGTGCGTTCCTGGCCGTGGCCGCTAGGTGTCAGTGTTGCAGCGCTGAGCAGCCGTCAGTTCCTCCTCCTCTCCAGCTGCAGGCAGTAAACAGACTTTGTCGTCGGACTGTGGCGTCGTTAAACCTTCCAGACAAAGAATGCGATAATTAAACAAATGCTGGACATTGGATATTACATTCATTATGTCTCCTCAAACATTATTCGCATCTTAACGAGGTGATTAGCAGCTGTTTGGGGCTGAAGCGGCCGAATGCATGAGGATGTGAAACCTGCTGAGCTGAAAGGTTTTTAAATTTAAAACAAACAAACAAAACAAAGGTAATTATGGGACATGTTGATGGGCTGTAGGGGCTTTGTTCTCGTGTCTGGTTAATGAGTGGCTTTACCTGCAGGCAGATATGAGCCAGAGGGGGATGAATGTAAAGCTTTATAATGTTTTATTAAAAAATAATGCAGCAATTTAACATGTTTTCACTCTGAATTAGAAGCTCAGTCATTTTATTCTCTGTATACACACAACATGTGGATGGGCCTCATGTATGAGATTAACTAAAATTGCACTACTGTGTTCTTTTTTCATTAATTTGACTTCATTAATCACAGTGACTTCCATCCACACTTTTAAAAACTGAACTAAAGAACTCAATATTAACTAAAAGCAAACAGAAGTGCAGCTGTTGCAGGGCAGGAATAACAAGGAGAACTTCTACAGACGCATGAAAACAGACAAAAAGAATTTAAACAACTTCACATCAATGCAATTTTCTATTAAGCAGCTTTTATAAAACAGTGACGTCCATTTAGAGAAAACATGGATTTAAACCAGAACAGTAGAATTCTGGAGGCATTCTTCCCTATTTTAATTTGCAGATTTAATGTCCATAGACTAAATGGTAATGCATAAAACCCAACTGATTAATGTGCACATAAACATGAAACATTTTCAGCATTAGCAGTTATTCAAACCTAAACACAAACCGCCCCGGCTTGTATTCAGAATCAAGAAAAAGGACTTTTTAAAATAAATTTTACACACTTTGTGCAATCAGCAGCTCCTCTACTGACCAAATGAAATGATTAAAGTCTCTCAGTCAATGTGGTGTGATTGGCTGTTAAAGAAATGTTTTGTTTATTTGAGAAAAGTTCACCTAAATGTCAGTCTTCTGACATGAGGGAGGCATGTGGAGGTCAATCTGATCTCAGGAGCTGGTAAAGAGAAAACAATCAGGACTGACAAACACATACATTTTCACAATTATGAAAAAGTTTCTGGAGACCCAACTGGAGGATGGTTAAAGGCTACACAGTGACTAGATGTAAGACCATCATGAGCATCATCTGAACCAATAACTAAGCGTCTAAACAGTAAACCTGGATGAGAGGATTTAAGTTGTGGTCACCGTCCCCCAAACCAACAGAAGTGTTCCGCCATTGCTTTGTTCTGCCTCTCTTTGCTTTAGGTCTCCGTCATGTCCAGCCCGGTCCAGACCACCTCCGACAGTCTCTGTAAACTCGTCCGCTGGGCTCACAGCCACGGCACCATCTGCAGCCTCCTCCCCGGCCTGCAGCAGCTCACCCGCGGCTCCTGTGGCAATGTGCTGACACCTGACCCGGGTTCCCACGGCGGCAGCGTCCCGGTCGCCGTGTGGGGCTGCAGCGCCGGCCACGCCTACCACTGGCCCCTCAGTGACCATAGCAACGGCTGTGGAGGTTCAGGGAACACCGGCCAGGGCCAGGAGAGGTTCATCGGAGGGCGTTCGTCCAACAAGGTGAAGATGTGACGTGTTTGTTCGTATGATATGAGATTTAACAGTGTTTTGATTTGAGGTTTTAGAAGGAAATGGACTGGTCCCTGTGTTTGGACTTTCACATGAGCTTAAGACTGTCCAGCTATAAAATCAAAGTGCTTTGAGGTTTGTGGAGCCGTTCTTCATTAGCTAGCAATCCTGCAAACCCAGTGTTAGGCAACAAGCTGTTCTCTGTGGAAAAATTCAAATCTTTATACAATCTGCTTCCAGAACTATTGTAGGCTTTGAGGAGTCTGCAAAGTTCTGGACGGCTGAGAACATAATGGTTTCTGTAATGTGATGGCATCACTGTGCTCGTAGCTTGCCAACATCACATGTTCGATTGAAACATGATTTTAGGATTCTTAAGACAGATAGATCGACCAGTTGTACTCTGCTCTCCTGGCTGTGTTTAAAGGTTCAATATGCAAGATTTAGCATTAATCTATCAGCACTACATGCTGTGTTAAGATGTAGTAGAGTAACAGCATCCTGAGCAGAAAGTGAAGTCACATTCGCTCCCTTTGTGTCGTGATCCGAGCTACTCTGTTCTGTCAGTCCAACGTCAGTGCACATTAGTGCACGTGAGTCCCTTCCTTTGGATCTGTTGGCCCCCTTTTGAGTTCATAACAGACCCAGAGTGACCTCCTGCACTGACTGAAAACACAAAAGTGCAACCCAGCATTCGGTCAGTGCCCAAAAAGAGACTTAATTAGTCATTAGTGTTGTTTACCTGGTTGGGTCACGCTAAGAGAGGTCAGCTCTGGTTCACCTGTGGTCGGTTCATGGGTTCAAACCGGTCATTGAAACAGATATACAGACAAGAAACAAACTGACTTCAGCAGAAGAGACGAGATAACAGCACACAAGTTACATCTTCTTGCAGCCTTTACTGTAATTCACAGTGTTTACGAGGCTAAAGGTAGTGCAGGAAAACTTTACGTTGGCTCTGGTCTACATAGAAGTGAGAGGAGGAGGGAGTCAAGGCCGTTAGTTTTGGTCTGAGATGCTGTTGCTCTAGTGACCTCCAGTGGTTCTAAAAGGCTGCACGTAGAACCTTTGAGGACAAAACCTTGCAGTGAGATTACCTTCTCGACCCATTGTGTTGGATTCTGTCTTGAAATTCAGAAGGAGAGACTTTCCACTGAGGACAGAAGGTATAATCCAGCTGTTTTCTCTGGTTCTCCTCGTGCCAGATGTTTAAAATCTGCAGAGTTTCCCTTTAATGTCCAAACTCCAGCATTAAATCCTGTCCTGAATCCCAGCGCAGGGTTCATTCAAGACAATAAGATTCAGTCTGTAGCTCTGATTCCTCATCTATCGTTTTTTTTTTACCTCTCAGGTGGTGGTGAGAACATCATGTGACCTCTCCTTCAGCGAGGCAGCATCAGAGGGGGAGGAGTTCAGCAGCCGGCTGTTCGACATCGCTGCGTGTGATTCGTCAGCCACAGACGAAGATGGCGACTACGAGCCACGCCCACCCAGGAAAAGAGGCGGAGCACCAGGAGGAGCCGCCGTAGGAAAGAAAATCAAACTGGAGGCAGCAGAAGATTATGACTCTCTGGCTAACATGGGGAGCATGGGGCTAGCAGAGACGGACGCCGTCAACCTGTCACAAGGACGCCAGACGCCAATCACACGCACACTGTTGAACAAGAGGCCCCTCCCATCCTGCCCTCAGCCCCAGCATGGGCAACATCTGGGCTGTGAGAGGTCAGTGGAGCCGGAGATGGAGGCGCAGGATGGAGGAAGCTGCACGACAGGAACCACGGAGCAGGCTGAGGGCTGCAGCTCCGCCTCAGAGGCCACAGAGAAGACTGCAGGTACGACAGACAATAAACATCTGGATGGGGTGATTTGTGTGGATGCTCACTACTCTACTTACATGTTTATTTTGTGTGAAGCTGACAGAGGAGAGCTGGAGAAGCTTCGAGTTCTGCTTTTTGCGGAGCGCAGCCGAAACCAGCAGATGACGGAGATGATCTCCAGTCTGAAGCAGGACAAAGAGCTGCTGCAGCACGAGCTCACCAAGAAGGCTGAACTCATCTGTGACTTCCTGCAGGACAAACTGCGACCAGGTAGGTTAAAGAATTAGAGTATCGCTGTAGAACCCTGACAAAATGATTGCTATGCCAGCAGGCTGCCAGCAGGCATAATAAAATAGGTTTTTATGTACCATGTTTTATGCAAAGTTCCACTTCAGAGGAGCTGAATACAAAATTAAAACAACAGATGGAGAAAGTAAGAAGAGAGGCGATGATAGACGATACCATACCGATGACAACAGTCGTATATTTCACATCAGTTAACAGTAAATGAGTATTCTAAATGTCTGCATGAAACATACAGATGTCCACGAGTGCCAACATGAACACAATAAATAAAAATAATAATCTAAACACTCCACTGACCAATAATTTCCCTCATACTTTCTGTGTCCCTCAGTCCTTATACAACTCTTTCATATTTCAGACAAGCACTGGCCTCGTTGCTCCAATCAGATGGAACCAGGAAGTTCCCACAAGACTTCGTCCGACGACGTGGCCGCGTTCGATTCGCCGACGCTGTTTGACTCGTTCGAGGAAATGGAGCTTCACCCTCTGGAGCGCCACCTGAACCTGAAGACCAAGAGGAGCCGGGACGGAGAAAACACTCGAGTCAGGAGTAAGGACGCGCCGATACAAGTGTTGAGCTGTTGGTACGAGAAGCCACGGCTGAGTCCGTTTATTGTTTCTGTGCTTCCTCTCTAGTGAAGAACGTGGTGGGTGTGATTGCACGCTACATGGCCGCCCTGCAGGAGTTCCGCCGCAGCGTCTCCATGAAGGTGGCCTTCGACCGGGTTGGCGTGGACCGCAACACCATCTCCCGTACGGCGGCCATAGCCGAGCTCAGCCTGGCCGCCCCGGAGGTGTTTCACGCTCTGGCGCCGTGGGACGAGAAGGAGGAGACGCTGGCGCACTACGCCCACCGCTGCCGGCAGGCGATGGACGACGCCATCAAGGCCAAGATCAAAACCATGAAGGCAAAAGGAGAACTGCTGCCAATCGTGTCCAAGTGACACAGTACCGACTCCTTCTGAATGAGTCAGAAAAGAAATCCCAACACAAAACATCATGTCCAAGAAAAGCCTTAGAGTTCTAGTGTCGTGTACTCTGGATGTATTCTGACCACATCTCTGTTACCATGTGTACAGAAATAGCTCCATTCGCCTCATATCCAATCGATTTCCTCTTGTGTGATCGTGAAACATCCGTGTGAAACTGAGACTCTTGGAAGAACAGTCTCCTGTTTGTGGATCCTCTGGGACCGTCACCAGAAGCGCTGCAGCCAGAGCTGCTCAGAATTCAGTCCAGTCATGTTCCAGCTCGGTACGTTTCCACAGCAGCGGCCTGTGGTGACGACTGCAAACACTGCCGTCACAGTAGATAGTGTGAATGTAGATGTTTTGGTTTTTTATGGTTCGCATTATCCAGTATTTATTCTGTACCGTTTTGTGTGCTGCTGGTAGCTGTTTTACAATAAACCATAAAAACACGACACATTGTGGCTTCTACCCACCAAGAGCACCAATACTGGACCCCACTGCTGTCATCATGTTTACATCATGTGTTGGGGGCTGCACGGTGGCTCTGTGGTTAGCATCGTCGCCTCACAGCTAGAAGGTCGCCAGTTGGCGTCCCGGTGAGGACACCCGGGATCTTTCTGCGTGGAGTCTCCATGTTCTCCCCGTGCAGCGTGGGTTCTCTCCGGGTTCTCCGGGTTCTTCCTCCCACAGTCCAGAAACATGCTGAGGTTAATTGGTGATTGTAAATTGTCCGTAGGTGTGAATGTGAGTGTGCTTGGTTGTCTGTCTCTAAGTGTAGCCCTGTGATAGACTGGTTACCTGTCCAGGTGAACCTGCCTTCACCCTGAGTCAGCTGGGATAGGCTCCGCCCCCCCATGACCCTAGTGAGGATTAAGGTGTAGAGATGATGGATGGATGGACATCATGTGTCGGGTCCATTCCAACTGTGGTCGTTTATGCTTTAATTTAAAATTTAAACAGCCAGAAATTTTTTGATAAAAATGGCTTCTAAGAAAAATATGAAAAAACCTCCACTGAACGTGACCCTTTTATCACTTTATTATCCATATCAATACAAAACAATTACAAAAAGCCGACAGAATGTGCGTTTTATGGAAATGATGATCGGCAGCAGAGCAGGAGACTCTTCACTGTGTTCCTGCAGTTTGTTTTCAGCCTGCAGACAACTTAACAGGATGTTTTATAACTATTTGGCACGTTCGTCCGGCTCTTTGGAAAGCGTTCCCAAAACCAGCAGCCAGCTTGTTAGTCTGGAAAATGTAGAAGAGGCAGATCGACGCTCCCCTGAGACGGTTCTCAACATGACAAACAGCAGTCCGTTAATCACCGGCAGCTCTGGAGAGGCCGATGTGCAGCAGAGTTGGGGAGCTGCAGGAGGGCAGACCGGGGCTGAAAGGTCACGAATCAGGCTCCAGGCGTGGAAGGACGGGGAGGATGAGGTTACCGAAGGAGGAGTCCTGAGTGATGAAGAAGCCCGATGAATGTGCGTGTGCATGCTGCAGGAGGAGACACGGTTTAGGTTACGAGGAGTTTCTACATTCACGGTTCAATATAACGTTAAAGGAACAGACATGGAGGGTGAAGTGCTTATTTGCAACAAGTCACCACTTAGCTTAGCATAAAAACTGAAAAAAGGTGAAAGAAAGTAGCCTGGTTACATGCAAAGTTAACTAAATCCACCTAACAACACATCTAAAGCTCATTAATTGATGTTACATCTACAAAAAAATAAATGTGAAGCTATGAGGGGACAGGTAGCATTTTTTGTACAGGTGCAAAGTTTATTGACTGAGCTCAGAGGTTGCCTTTTAACCTCTGATCTTGTATTTAGCTGGTTTTCAAACACGTCTCAAGACAGAAGCGTCAGTGGCTGTGATCTACTGGACATGTGAGTCAGATAATCTGCAAAACTGGGTCTTAAAATCAGCCTCAGATACCAGGAAATAACTCGCCAACACTGACTAAAAACAACATGATGCACTGGTTTAAATTTGTCAAGGTAACACAGGACACATTTTAGTGGTCCTTTGTTGTGCTGCTCGTTTGCTGTAAATAGATATAAAGTCGGCGGTTGTGTGTCTCACCTGCAGGGCAGCTTTCTGCTGAGCGGCGATGTGCTGCTGCTCTGCGTTGTCCCTGAACTCCTTCAGACTCGGCCTGGACAGCGAAATGCTACAAGATCAAACGGAGGAGAGGTCGAGGCCGAAAACAGAAGATCAGAATGTTAATGTGCGACTTGAAAGTTTGTGAGATTCTCCCTTTGTGTGTTTTCATCCCTCCAGACAAAGCAGTGCTGCTGTGGCTGAATTTTAACTCTGATAATTTTAATGACTATTATACTGCTGGTTCACATCCCCAAAACACACATTACACCTGATGACCCACGGTTTGTCTATATTGCCTTCAAACTAAAAGCCATTTGTTTTTTTGCGGTAAACTTTCCCTACCTGGCTCCAGGAGTGTTCATGGAATGATTCTGCATCAGACGCCTCCTCTCCTTCTCCAGCTCAGCCAGGATCGCAACCCGGGTCTTGTTTGGGAAGGCTGAATGGAGAAAACACAATGAGATGACGATGACAACAACAACAACAACAACAACAACAACAACGACAATGACAACAACAAAAGAACAACAACAACGACAACAAAAAGCAGTTTGAGGTGAGGGACAGAATATCATCTATCAGATAGCATTTCTTTGTTCAGGATAAGAACTTTTTTTATGCAGCATGTGAACAGTTTCTTTTCTGATGTAGAGAAAAAGTTAAACATCAAATTTCTATTGCTGTAATTAGAAAAGAGGTAAATTTAGCCAGTTGAGCACAAGTTGAGTAACATCAACAAGATGTTGTCCAAAATGTCCGCCAACTTCGCCAAACCCTTCGTCTCAATAACTCTCAGCGTTGCAGAAAAGTGGCACATAAATGGTGAACACACACTCTGACGTGTGACTTCTGGCCTATGAACCCACTTTGTCTGCTCGTTATCATTATCAGTATATTTGATCACTTCATGACGTCTGTTCTGTGGAGATGCAGCGTGTTGAAACTTATTTTAATATGTTAAAAAGAATATACAGAATTAAGTTAAATATTACATGCTCCATTTACATTTTTGTTCAGTGAAGCTGGTTAATTAGAAATAAGCAGTATTACATTAAATTTATTTTTTTGAGATGCACCAGTCAGTCACTGATTCACAACTTGATCTGCTACTACATTAAAATAATTAAAAATAATAATAATAATGGGGGGAAAAATAACATTTTAGCACTTTTCTGATGAGATACTGTTTTTGTTTGTTTGTTTGTTTTTATTTTTCCATGAAGTGAATATTTCCCTACGGGGGCCCAGAAGCAGGAAGCGTTCAGGGGATCCGGAGTTCGTAGCTTCGCCCCTGGACTGAGGAGCAGCTTCAGCTCCACAAACACAAAGAACTTCAACAACCAACACCTGAACCTTTACAGTCACCTTGTCCGGGGGGGTTAGCAGCCATGTCAGTGAAGGCAGCAGGAGGCAGGTCCAGATAACAAACACCAGAACCGGTTCTATTAACGGTAAACGATCCGTTTCCTTCCCTCAGCTAACGTCACGCCGCCGGTAGACGAGCACGGACAGAAGTCCTGCTCGGTGCTGAGTCGGACTGAAAGTTGAACAGAACTGATTACAGACGACTTTCTGATGAACTCTGCTGTGACAGAAGCTGAAAGTTTAACATCAAACTCTGGGTCGTGTGAACGCGTCTCGTCGCGTTTCGCTTCTGGAAACCGGTTTGTCGGTCAGAGAGGCGGGAAAAGGAAGAGGTCTCACTCTGCTGCTGTTTCAGGTGATCCTAAAGTTATGAACAGCACAAGATGACAGCAATGACTAGAATATCATGAAAAGACCGCATTTGGAGTCCAGATTAGAATTTATGAGCTCAAAAGTAGAATTTAAGTCCTAAAATGTTGACTTTAATGTTTGCAAGTTAATTATTGAAGTGCTCTAATTGTGAATTCTGCAAATTCTACCCCTGACAACTTATTATTAATTATTCGTCACTTTGTCCTGAATGTTCAGTCTTGACTTTAGGAAAATTAGTTTGTCAATTAAAGAGCAAATTTATCTAAATCTTAACTTAAAAGCTATTTTGGATGTTAACACAGATCTTTTCTCTTGACGTCCTGAGTGCAACGACAGAAATGTACTAATGCTGTTCTGTATGAATGTAAGAACTGTTCTTCACACCGTACGTGTCCTTCAGCTGGATACATGATTCATCCCTGTAAATATATCCATATGTAGATTCATCACACCACGCCTGCACACGTGTACATGATCTTTATTCATTCAATTTTATTGTATTTCTGTAGTGCACTTTACAACGTGTGCCATCTCACAGCGCTTCACACAGTCCAGTACAGACCTCATGAGTCTAAACAGAGAACCCAGCGATCCAAATCCAATCCTAATCTTTGGACTCCCAGCGGTGGGAAGCCGCCTCCTCACACCTTTATCTACGGTTTGCCACAGGTGTGTTCAGGGCCAACATTTACAATCCATGACAACCTTTCAGTTCAACTAGCAGGTATTTTCCTTAGTGATTAATTTGTGAATTAAGGTTGTTTTACCTTTTAATTATAGTCTTACTGTCTGTTTTGTTCCCTCCACGACTCATTTCTACCTAGTTGCTGTAACATGTACCTTTGTTCCCCAGTGAGGCTCAATAAAGTTTATTGTCTTATCTTTTCTGTGGCTTTCAATCCTGTCTCATGGACTTCTTCAGCAGATGTAGTTGACACAAAGATAGAGCAGTTTGACAATATCTCTAACTATCTCTACAACAAATGGGTAAACTCCATGTTTTGTTCATGAGATGGTTGAAAACTATGGAAAGTGATCAACAAAGTAAATGTTTTTAAATCAAAATACACACAAGAGCCTGAAACTCACTGGAGGGATCATTTATCTCATCTGGCCTGGAAACTCCTTGGGATGCCCGGAGAATCTGGAGATGTAATTCTTATCCTCATGGCCGGACACTGGATAAGCAGACTGATTTTTAAATTTTTTTATTCTTAATCTTCTTCTCATTAGCTGCTTAACAGATGTAAATTCACTGTCACTTCTGTTTTAAGCCGTGATGTTGGGGCTCGTAAACTCAGAGTAGTTCATCTTCACAATAGATGATCTTTGTCGCTCCATTCGCCGCTTCTCGTCACGTGACCCGTGTGTTTACATCCGGGTTCTCGTAGTTTAACATCCGGAGCTGCGCAGTGGGAGTCAGCTGACAGTTGTGATGAACCAGCGGGTGTAACGTCTCCACTGAAGAGACCCTGAACGGAGGAGGAAAAAAAAAGAAAACCTCCCTCCGTCTCCTCCAACTCCACCGGCCGAGGAGAACCGGACCGCCGCTACCCCTCCGGACACCCAGCCACGTCCTCCCGCCTTCCGCAGGGATGAGTGTCGGCGCTCCGAGAGGCCTGGCCAGCTCGGGGCAGAAGCCCATCACGGAGATCCTCCACCCGCTGTCCGCCGCCGAGGAGACGCTCTCCTCGGGGCCAGATGTCACCGTGAACGTCGGAGGGGACCAGGTAGGATCCGCACCGACACCGCTCGGACGGTTAGAAAATAACCGTGGGATGGAGGGAGGACGGTTAACCGAAGTGAACTCCGCTGACTGACCTGCTTCCAGGCGGGTACCAGCGCTCAGAGGCTGAACCATCAGCGAGCTGCTGGAAGTTTGAATCCGGGAAGGAGGAAAACAAGCGAGCTGTCTGCTGGGCTTGTTGGTTAATGTCGTTTCTGAGGTTTTCGTGCACACAGCTGGGCTCAGAGTCGAGTGTGAACCGTTAAGTTATGCTGCTGTGGTTTAAAGGCTGAACCTCAGGACGTGGTTCAGTCACATCCGAGAGTTAAACAGGCCAACTTGTTGTTGAAGCTACTAAACCTCTGATTGGGTGTGAAAAGCTGCAAACACAAGAAAAACAAAGAGGGTGAAATGATCTTAGTAATGCACAAAACACATCCTTCAACATGTGTTCTGTATTTACAGCATTTAAGTCAGATCATGTGAGAACACAGAGAGTTTAACCGACTCATTGTGTTTTATATTACAGTCTGTAGGGTTTTCCTGCTTAACATTTGGATTACTGAAGCAGGTTCACAACATAAATACCCCTGTAGTGTCTCTAGTGTAATATTTAAATCTTATTTTCTACAGGAAAGCACTTTGTTGATGAGCTAAATAAAACTCTGACGCATGTTTTGGTTTGAGAACAGATTTCTCATCATAAGTAAAAGTGGCAGGACATCCTTATCGAGCTGTTCAAACAGCGATGGATCCTGCAAACAGCTTCTTCCACCTGTTGTTCTGCATCGGAGCAAACACTTTGGTCCTGCGGTTAATTATTTCCAATAAGAGACGCTGTAGTCCTTCCAGCGAGGTTGTTTTGCAGCGTTGGGTTTCTTCTTCACCTTTATCACCCCTCGTACATGATTACACCGGGTCAGATGTAAAGCTTGTGATCCGGCCAAATAACTTGTCAACACTTTTTCATAAAGCTTTAGAGTAAAAGGCCAGAGAAGTTAAAATGTTGTAGATTTTTCTTACCAGCTTTCTTAATGATTTATTACCAGTTCTTAATTTTTCTGCACCACAAATAAACTCTGCTGCACGATTGTCTTTACGTTACAGTTGTTTGCTTCCAGAAAAATATCTAATTTTGATTTTTCTGACAGATGCTGGAGCTGCGATATCCTTTTATTTTAAACAGTCATGCTTCAGCTGAGTATTCGCTGTATGATTTAAAACATGTGACACCATCCAGAGCACGACTGTCCCACAAAGACGACAGCAAGGATTCATAAAACCACTGACACGACACTTTAAACCTTGTGTCAGACTTGCTGCGTGGCATGTGTCCTGAATCGCAGCATTTGCTAATTGTATAGTTCCAAACTGTGATTTTGATTTGAAATCGATCAGCGACTCTGTTTGATTTAATTCTGATTGGGTGCAAACTTTTATTTTAATTGTCATATTGTCACGAAAACAACAATTCCTCTTTTGTTTTGGTGAATCGTGTCGTCGCCTTTGGGCCGAGAGCACAGTTAGTTTCAAACAGGAGTTTCTGTTCACACGTCTGGAAGTCAAACGTTTGCAGTTCATGACTGATAAACTTATTTTGACTCACAGTATAAATTTAGGTCCGACTATCAGTGTTTTCACCCAGTTTTTAAATCTTATCTGTAAGCAAATGTTGGCATTTTGACATGTCAGCGTAGGAAAAGCACAGGTATAAATAATGCAAGAAAAGATGGCCAAATTCCATTTCACTTTCTATTTCCTGGTACTGAGCATACGTTGTCTTACTGACTATATCAGAGCATCCTGGGGTGCTTCAGCAGAATACAACCATCGTATGTGCTTTTTATTTGCAGTGACACTTCAAAATGTCTGCTACAAAAGAGGCTGATAGCAAAATGTTATCCTCACAATCTGTTAAATCAGCTCAGTGTAATATTTTCAGATTCTCCTCAGCGTCTGTCTGACTGCGTGGCGGTGGCCTGGCTGTTCATTCACAGTGATGTAATGATGCAATGCAATGCAATTATCTGACTGTGATTACCAGAGCAGGTTAGCAGCATGGTGTTAAAAAAAAAGGGCACTTACAATGTCAGCAGCCTGTGTGTGTGTTTCTCCTGTGTGCACAGCAAAGAGTGTGTGTTTGGTCGGTGTGTGTGTGTGCGGTTGCAGAGTGTGAGGCCGAAGGGCAGCACTTCTCTTGACACTGACTGGATCGGAAAGTTGCACATGAGCCCAGTTCAGCTGATTTTTTTTTTTAAAGAAAAAGTAATTAGGGTTGAACATTAGCTTTTGTGCACCTGTTTCAGGAACAAAGTATTTTCTTCCTCCTGTGGGCCGAGACGTGGCCCCTGAAGTGTTGTCGGAAGTTCACATGGAATCAAACGTGGCAGGACGAAGCTGTAGAGGTGGACTTGTTTGCTGGTTTTATTTTAAGCGAGCCGCTGCCTCACAGTTTTTCCTACGTCTCCGTTGCAGTGTTTACATTCTGGTCAGCGTTTACACTTAACATTCTGTTGCCTGCCGTCGCTGCTGTTTGTCAAATGAAGCCCCTCTAAATGTGCAGCGATGCATTTCACCGCTCATGAGAACTATACTCTTAATTCCCATTGTTTTTTATGTACTTTATGTACACCTAAACAGAGAAAAACAACTGCTTAATCCCATTTTTAAAAATAAGGTGTCCAAATCCACAAGTTATTCTGCACAGCTCCCACTTTTGTGCATTTATTTGTCTGTTTATGGCCGTTTATAGCAGCCTGTGTGTGTCTGGATGGATAAATTTGTTGTGTGTTTCCTATTTCTTGCTACTGAAAGCAGTAAATTGTTGAAAATACCTGTCAGATACTTTCTGACAGGTATTTTACACTGACACACTTTTAAAGGATTTCTGAAGGGTTTCTAAATAGTTATACACGGGTTTGGTAGGAATATTGATTCAATCTGTTTTCGTAGCTCCAGATACCGACGTTAAATGCAGCGTATTTATCTTTTATAGTATTGATGGATGCACCAAAGACCCATGTGTGTCAACTCAAGGCCGCTTTACATGCATACGTGTCCGTCTTTGTGGTACAAAAACAGCAGCAGCTTCTTCCCAAAACTAAAAAAACAGATGAAATGTTTTATAATAAGCCTGCAGCTGCTATAACTAACCCTTGTTGGAAGTTTCTGTATTAAGACTGTGAAAATACATCCACGACTTGCTCCATTTCTCTGCACTCATCCATCATTCAATTAGAAAGACGATGGAGGAGATGCAGGGCCTTAACAAGAGGCCCATTGACAGAGAAACAACTGCATCAGCATCAGAGTCGCTCCGTCTATCTGCCTCTTTGTTTGCAGCCTTTCCCTGAATTCCATGTCACCGTGGTGTCATGTCTGTCCACGCAGGAGTCGGGGCTGACCAACGGCACGCCGGTCGAGACGTCGAGTCCCGCCTCGGCGTCGTTGCTGTTCAACCGGCTGCAGCTGGACGACGACTCGGAAGCAGACGCTCGAGACCCCTACGCCTCCACGGAAACCCGCGACCTGTTCGTCACGGTCGACGACCCAAAGAAGCACGTGTCCACCATGGAGACGTACATCACCTACAGAGTCTCCACCAAGGTACGCTGCTGTCGGCTGGCGTCGTGGTAACACCTTCTGCCTGGTAATAATGAGTTAAAGCTAAGTAAATGTGGTGCACGTTCTACTACAACAGTCTACCTGTGTAGTATTATAGTATTTACAGAAGATAGCAGCGGTGCACGGAGATACTTTGCCGTCATTTTATTGTCTACTTTACTTTTGGTGTTTCCTTACATTAGACCTTTTCTGCTTCAGTTGTTGTTGCTTTTCTAAGCTCATCATTGAAAGCCTAAATCCGCCGTTTTTCCACACAGTAAGCAGGTAATGAGTCTAATATTTACCCACCAGTGACGTCCCGCGATCGTTTTTGTCGCTGCAGATGTTCACGTGGTCCACTCTGGTGTTCTGAGTTGGAGTTTTGGGTCAAACATTTACAGATGAACTTGAAAGGTTGCCGTTTCCAGTCAAGAATGAGGAAGTATGCCACCTAATAATTGGTCCAGGTTTGCTATCAGATGAGGGGGTTGCTCACAAGCACTGGGTACAGGCTTCCAGAAGTTGACCAATCAGACGAAAGGGCAGCTTTTAGGGACGGGGGCCTTAAAGAGACAGGAGCAAATGAGCTTGTATGAGATAAATAAAGATGTTGCATGCAGTGCTGCTTTAGTGGATAAAACTGTAGGTGAGAATGAACATAAGATTTAATTAAGCATGTTTTGTTCCATGTTCTATAAACCGTTGTTCAGATGCACCACTGGGAGAAGGTAATCCAGGTCATCATCACGAATATTCAGCTTTGTAATTTCTCACGTTTTTTGTACTCATTTTTTCTGATCAGAAATTTTCTTGATGGTACATTCAAGTCAAGTTTGATATTTAAGACTTAAGAGCTGGCTGAGGACTTTTATATGCAGGAAACATTCAGTTTTATATCAGTGTTTTTTTTTGTGTTCTGTCTAAAAGGAATTTTTCCAGTAACCTGTCCGAGCAGAGCAAAGCTTTATAGCAGCTGGTCCAGGCAGTTGGAGCTTCCTCCTTCCTCGTAAAGCGCCGTGCTGCAACGTTAAAACATCAAATTAATATTTAATGGGATAAAACATACAAAACTACCAGGAAGGAAGGTGTAAGTTAGAGGTACGCTGTAGAGTTACAGACCGACAGCAGCGGTGTGTTTGTATAATTAAAGGCAAAGAGAACCAAGGACAGAGAAAGCAGAGCGCTCAGACAAGAATGTAAACATGAAGGATTTAAAATCCCTCTAAAGATCAACTTTTCTAATGTTTTATCTGGAGGGAAATTCACTTTATACGCTTGTTCAGCCTCAGGTGAGAAACACAGAGAGGTAAAGACATAAAATAGAACTTCCTTAAGTGGAAACGCGTCCAGGTGTGAGGCAGCAGATGGTCCTGTTATATTATACTGTAGAGATAAACCCAATGAATCCAAACGAGTCCCTCTGAGCGAGAAAACACTCCCCTTTTAACAGGAAGTCACCTCCGGCAGAACCAGGCTCAGGGAGGGCGGCCATCTGCTTGGACTGGTTGATGAGAGGGTGAAGGGGTGGAGAGACGAGGGTATCAGAGGAGAACAATAAACACAAAACCTGATGGTAGAACGGATGCAGATCTCACAATGACTCAGGTTTGCATTATGTGCAGTTGTCACAAATGAAACCTGGAGTCCTGTGAGATGAAGAGCTGGACTGTGCAGCGGCGTACCCGACCCAGATGTATCGTGTTCACGTGCACGCTGAATGGCCGTATTCACAAAAACCTCTTTCATGGTGTCTCATTGTTAGAACGGCACAGAAAACTAGAAATACCAGCATTTCTGACTTTTGGGCTGCAGATAAAAATCTTTTCTTCCAGGTTAGTCGGTCCTCTCAGCTGTGGATTGTTTTATAAGACTTGGAGGCACCAGGAGATCACAAGCAGCAGATATTAATTAAGACGCTGCAACACGACTGCGTCTTTGGTGTAGAAAGAAAGATCAGTATCAGTGCCAATGCTGCTGTGTGGTTAAAGACGGTCGTAGCTTCACCGCTGGCAGCACAGGAAGACGTGTCGAAGCCACATTGTTTTTTCTTCTTTCAAAGTCTCTGTCTTTGATTTTTTCCATTGAGACAAAACAGAAAGATCAGATTGTACAGATTCTACACCCACAATGGAAAAGAAAGCGACCGCAACGTGATCGAACTGCAGCACGATTTGTTTTGAAGGCTGGTTTTATTTTCTAGCCGTCTTCAGTGTATAGATTTGAAAATAAGCCATCGTTAAGCCCTGGGCACGGACTAGATAGATAGATTAGATATAACTTTATTGATCCCTTTGGTAGGGATGTTGTTTCACAGGATGAAGTTTTTAACCTGGAGTTGAATTTTTGCTTCTGGTTTGTCTTTTATCTACGGACTGTTGCAGCAGATTTGAAGTCCAGGGAGTTGAAATCTATAAGAGTATCTGTCCTCCATCAAGAGGACGGAGAACGAGCTGCAGCTCCGCGTGGCACCGTTAGATAGTAATCCACTTGTATCCCAGGGATGATGGAGCAGATAGGAATACAGTTAAAGAAGCACTTTACTTAATCTTTCCATTAAAAACATATATATTTTAGAGTGGACTTGTGCTTATCAGGTGGCTCTTCTGTCTCGTCCGTCCGAGCAGGAGGACGGCAGGGCCGCCGATCCGCCTGAAAGAAGTGAATCAGAGCTTGTGAGGCCTTCCCATCGTGTAATGAGAGAAACAAAGTGAGAGGGAGACACTGCCAGGAGCCGCTGAGTGGCGTCATGACGACAGTTGCTATGTGCGCCGTGGCGCTTGGTTCAGACGCTGCAGACAAATATCACAGCCTGATATGAACACATAGTGTTAATGGAGAGCATGTGGTGGTGGGGGGGGGATGTCTTTTAACACTTTATTGCCAGAGAGAGTAAATGTGTGTGTGCGCTATCAGCCGTATCTGAAGGTCTGTGAAGCTTTAATCCTAAATGGGAGGTCAGCAGATATAAAGCTAATGGCTGCCGCTTTGTGCTCATGTACGCACGCACACTTATGAACTTATTTATGCACAAATCAAAACTAATCACAGATTAGTAAAGTAGTTGTAAATTAACTCGTGCTAATGCTGTGAAATGATTAATTGCTGCTGATCAACAAACCCGTTCATGAGGCCACCGTGTGGGTATTCTTATAACATTGTGGCTGTTTTGACATTTTAACAAAATAATGATTGCAGTAATAGAAAATGTTTGATGAGTATTATAATATTCACATGTGAAATAGGAAAGTTAGGTTTAAATCGACCCTTAAAGACTCTCTGAACCTTTTTAGCATCCTCTTATGACGTTTTTTTTTCAATATGCTGGAAGACATATCAGCAAAAGTAGCATCATGACGGAGCATTTCCACGATGAGCTGCTGTGTATTGATGAGAGACTTCCAGGATTTCATAGGTCACAAATGAAGGAACCAGTCCCATTACCTTGCAGGGGAGGACTTTCTATATCAGTGTTCTTCCTCTGAAATGATTTTCGGTTTGAATATCTCTGGCCGAACCACTTCAGTAGTACAACCTGCTGTCGTGTAGCGCGGAGTGGTTTCACAGCGTTTGAGTCGAGCTGTAGGTGAGCTGGTGTGCTCGAGGTGTAGCCGATAATGGAGAGTCAGAGGAAGACGTACGTTCTGCAGGAAACAGCAGGACTTCATAGATTTGTCACATCGAAGCCGTTTTAAGACGTGAAGTGATTATTTTCATGGAACAGCTACCGGAGAGGGACTTTGAATCATTTATCCAAATATTATTTATACATGAACACAGAGGATGAAGTTAGAAAAATACAGATTTTTTTCAGGTTCACGTAATTGAAATAAGAACTGAAGCATCAAGTCTTTCACTGAGAATCAACATCTTTGAATTTACTTTGTCGTCAGTTTACTGGATTTCTCAAACATTCCATTTTTCACCCAGTTAAAAATAAAAAAATAAAATAAAATTACACAAGGGATTGAATTTGGGTCCCTTTTCAGGACTAAGCCAAATTAAAGGTCAGAAACTTCCTGTGTGTTCAAAGTAACAGATCAGATGTGTGTGTTTTCCTCCAGACGACACGGATAGAGTTCGACCTGCCCGAGTACTGCGTGCGACGGCGCTACCAGGACTTCGACTGGCTCCGGATCAAGTTGGAGGACAGCCAGCCGACCCACCTCATCCCCGTAGGTCACACCTGCCGCGCTGCCGTCCAGCTTCCCAGTGAAAAAAAAAACACCTGATTTTGTATTCTCTCCTCCTCCAGCCACTGCCAGAGAAGTTTGTGATGAAGGGCGTGGTGGACCGTTTTTCAGAGGAGTTCGTGGAGACGAGGATGAAAGCTCTGGACAAGTTCTTGAAGCGGGTCGCCGACCACCCCGTCCTCTCCTTCAACCCGCATCTAAACGCCTTCCTGTCGGCCAAGGTGAGACGGCAGCCTGCCGAGAGCCCCGTAGATCAGCTACAGCGAGCAATAAACCACAGTAATCCTACTGATTATATGAATAGAGGACAAGAAATAAAACCTGAAAATGCAGAAAGGAGCATCATAAATACCGACGCACGTCCAGCGCAAATGAAAAAAGATTGATCTCAGCAGCGATTTTTCAGTTAAGTGCTTAATTAGAGACGACAGCTCCCCCTCCTGCCCGTGTGTTTCCTCCACATCTGCCTCTGGTCACATATTTCCTCTAAGTAGCTGAGACACAAAACAAGACTTTATTGATCCCTGTGGGGAAATGAGGTTGTTGCAGCAGTAAAATAATTGGACTCAGATTAAAGGACGAGAACAGGAGCTTACAGGATCGGTGTAAAAATCTTCAGCGTGAAGCCGATAAAGCATTAATAGAAGAAGCCGTGGGGTCGTCTGAACACGCAGGTGGCGGTTTCATCGTGTAAGGTAGAGGGGGGCGGATGGATCATTGTCATATTTTATTTATTTACCAGATGAATATTTAAATAGCTGTGCATGATGCTGGAGGGACTCCTGACGTCTTCGTTGTCTGCAGGACCTGAACAAGCGTCAGGGTCTGGCCCTGCTGACCAAAGTGGGCGAGTCGGTGAAGCACGTGGCCGGAGGCTACAAGCTGAGGGCGCGGCCGCCGGAGTTCTGCGCCATGGGGGAATACCTGGACACCTTCACCCAGAAGCTGGGAACCATCGACCGCATCGCCCAGAGGATCCTCAAGGAGCAGTCAGGTATCAGGCTGATGGAGGAGATCACATTACGCCAGTCAGTCCGTCTTCAGCCTCCATTTTTAGAAGATTGTTTGGAGGCACTTTTATCTTTTATTGAACACTTGTCAGCAAACACAGTGTGCACAGTTATCAGGCGTGTTCTGCTCCTCAGGATTGGTTTTGTACAGCAGATGCAGTCCTCTGAGTTAATGAATCTCAAACCTGAGGAAAAGTGAGACTACGTGAGTGAATAGAATCACTGAGGAACTATTAGAAAACTATTTTTTCCAACTCACTTGTTTATTTTCATTTTTTAGAATATGACAAATAAGTAATATAAAATGACAAATAACACTTTTGATGTTTTAAAGATATTTACTGACCAGTAGACTCCTTTTCAGTCAATTTCTTGATCTGTTCATCATCAGCCTTCCACATGCTCTTACAAGAGGTCTGTTGCCTTAGCTCACTGTAAAAGCCACATTTGAAAGTGGTCTGCAAGTTCTGAATAGGATTTAGGTCAGCTGAGGAAAGGAGGCAGGTCATCACTGAGTCATCTTTAAGAGTTTTGCTGGCAACGTGCTTGGATGAAGGTGAAGTAGTATTTACCTGTCAGGGCTTCCAGAAACTGGCAGCAGGTTTAGGAGCTAATGTCTCCAACCAGTTTAGCCTTCAGGACAGCAGCCCGTACCAAAACCCCGTCTCCATGTCGCTGGCACGACTCAACGCTGTGCCCAAAGTCCACTAGTGATGCAGCCACCAGCCATGTAACCCGTCCATCAGGTCCGTCAGGAGTCGCTCTCATCTCACCTGTCGGGTATTTTAATGGCCCAACGTTGGCACTGATTCGTCCGTTCTATCCGTCTTTAACTCGACCATGTTTCTTGACACCTCGGCCGTCTGGACGCTCCAGGTATGTTGCTGTTGGGGAATATGGTGGCACTGGAGGATAACTGGTTCCTGGCGATTGCACACAACATTTTTCTCAAGTGTTTTTCCTCTGCGTGTGACCTTGTTGACTTTTCAACAGCAGGACGTTTGATTGGTCGCTGGTCACACCTCAATAGTTCACTTATTTTGTACAGACATTGTACAATTTGAGACGTTTCAGTGTCAGTTAAATCTCTTTCTTTACCTGAAGCAACGAAGCTGTCTAATAATTATGCTCACCTCAGCGTAAGGCGTTAATGACTTACAACTTGTGCTTGTATTTATCGCCTGAAAATGCTAAAATCTAGTAAGTGATCAAGTTTATACTGTGTGCTTTGGAGGTGGAAATAATGAGAAGGTCAGACACTCACCTGCCTACTAACTGCACACAGTGTAGAGACTGACAGGAAGCATGAGGAGAGAGGGATGGCTTTAGTGCAGAATGATTTAGGGTTAATTATATCTGTTGTCTAGGGATGTTTCTGACAGATATTGTGATCATGATTTGTTTTGTGATGTACAGTATGTTCTGTGTTATACATTAAATGCATGTGATGGAGCATCGACCCATGAGACACCATCAGCAGTGTGACTGTCGCACAAACAGGAAGCATGAGTTTGCAAAGTTATGAGGTTGTTAATGGACAAGACTATATATGGAACCACAGCAAACATGCTTAAACCCAAAGTATTTATTGATCACTGGTCAGAAATAAATAACTGAATGGAACAAAATATAATTAAAACATTTGTCTCATTGTTTAGTAGCCACACCTCCGATATCCTAATGTACAGCATGTGCAGTTTTCTAGCTGCATTCTAACATAAAACGATGTCATAAGTGTGACATGTAGCCGAGCAGGCTAATAGCTAATGGCTACTAACCTATGAATTGGTTAAACTGTGATTAGACAACACAGAGAGATTAATATTAACCAATCAGAAAACTACTTAATAAAATGAGCAACAAAAGCTGTCGCTGTATAGATCAGTTAAAACAAAAACTGAGTAAATGATAACAGAATGAGTTAATGGAAGCTCAAACAAAACCTTCTTTTATATTGTTTGTTTAAAGCTCATTGTGTTGAAATCATTCATCTGTTTATTTCTTCCTTTCTAACCGATTTACAGTTAATTCTATTAAGTCTTGTTGTGGGAGAACTTTGCATATCAGCCCTGAGATATAACGAGCACTTTGGTTAAACCGATGAACTCTGTCACAGTTTCTTCTTTCCTGGTCGTGTGTGTTTCAGGCAGCAGGAAGCAGCGTTTAGAAACTCTGGCGCGCTGCTTGCAGCACAGCCTTAAGTAGTAGTTCTTCTTCTTCTCTGAGGAAACGTCCCCGCTGGCAGCTGTTTGTATGTGCATCGCTGTGCCTGTGGTCAGCTTATGTCATGCGTAGAGGTTCAGTCTTTAGCCAGGTCTGTACCAGCAGCTGGTAGGACTTTTATCTGCAGTATCGACTGCAGGGCTTGTTTGTTTGGAGCCCACAGACCTTTGGGCCTTGAGGCAGCGTGGCTGATGACTGCGGGCCTAACTCATGCATGACAAGTGGCTCTGTAAATACCTGTCATCTGTCGTGGTGTGAAATGCTCCTTGTCACCATCTGCTCCGGGTCGTAGACGTGCTGCAGTCTGCTGCAGCCTCGTTTCCATGTCGGATGAGATAAAATGGAAACTGTGGTAGTCGTAGATAATGACGGCCTGTGAGCCGACAGAGTGCAAAAAAAACCCAAAACCCAAAACGCTATGTGAGCTTGACTCAGCAGCCTGGCGTTTGGCCATCAGCCTCTCTCATGTGTAATTTACAAATATAGATTGTGCAGCTGAACACGCTGATCCCTGCCTGTGAGGGAAGAGGGAACGTTTTGCTGTAATTTGTCCCCCAGTCCAGTCGTGTCTTGTGATATTCAAAATAAATCAGATTGAAGGTCTAGTCACAGAGCATCCCCAGCATTAAGAATGCTGCAAACATTTATCGTGTCCTTTAACTCTTTTCATTCCTCTGTCTCCCACCAGAGTATCTGACGGAGCTGCGAGAGTACGGCACCGTCTACTCCAGCTGGGCGGGGTCGGAGGAGGAGCTGCGGCGCCCCCTGGAGGGCGTCGCCGGCTGTGTGACGACGTGCTGCGGAGCGCTGGAGGACATGAGTGAGAACATGAGCCAGGACTTCCTGCCCGTGCTTAGAGAATATGTTCTCTACATAGAGTCCATGAAGGTAAGAGGGCAGCTGGATCGGAAACATTTCACATCTGTGCTACAGAAGCAGGATTTAGACTTTCAGCCTTTTCAGTGGCTGACAGCAGGAGTGTAACAAAAAGGCCCTCAGAGTCCGATGGACGCACTTTGAATCCAAATTCACATCCCTTCTTCTTGGTTGAGTTGCTCTCAGAGTAGTTTATATCAGATGAAACTGCCCGGCCTCACCGCTCCAGTAACACCAGCTGTTTGTGCACAATGAAGTGTTGGTGGAACAAAACATTTTCAATTTACATAAAATTTAAAGGGCTGCAGGTGTCTTGGTGGTTAGCATCGTTGCCTCACAGCTAGAAGGTCGCCGGTTGGCGTCCCGGTGAGGACACCCGGGATCTTTCTGCGTGGAGTCTCCATGTTCTCCCCGTGCAGCGTGGGTTCTCTCCGGGTTCTCCGGCTTCCTCCCACAGTCCAGAAACATGCTGAGGTTAATTGGTGATTGTAAATTGTCCGTAGGTGTGAATGTGAGTGTGCTTGGTTGTCTGTCTCTAAGTGTAGCCCTGTGATAGACTGGTTACCTGTCCAGGTGAACCTGCCTTCACCCTGAGTCAGCTGGGATAGGCTCCGCCCCCCATGACCCTGGTGAGGATTAAGGTGTAGAGATGATGGATGGATGATGTGCATCCATCTCTACACTCATCATGCTCTTGTTTGAATGACTCATGAAGTTGTCACTGCACAGTAATGTCTAATGTTAGTATCAATGTAGATGTTGCATAAATATTAACTGCTAATAACGTATTACAAATAATATCAGAACCACAGCTTTGTTATTATGCTTGTTGTATATTTGTACATGTCAAAGTGAAAATGTTTTGAAGACGGATGAAGATGAACAAAAAGTAAAATACCTAGAAGAAGCCACAAGTTCTTGTCCTTATAAATACCTTATATACAAATCTGTATGAAAGCAACACTACACACAGCTACACATCACTTTAGAACAATGAGTTATATCAGAGCAACAAAAACGAGCTGAAACTGATGGAAGCTGAACTCGGAGCCTTCAGACTGAACACTGCAACAGAAAAGGTCAGCAGCCAAAGTATTGACCAGCAGCTGAGTGAGCGTCGATCGAGCCACTAAACGGTGCCGCTGTCGCTCTCTGCTTCAGCTCTAGTGTTGAAAACTCTCCACGTCGCTTTATGTGACGAACCTTCAAATGTCTGACGAGCTCTGTGGTGTTGAAATCTTGTGGTTGCTTCACTTTACGAGCGATTTCTTTGGAAGCTTGCAAACTGCAAATGTATTGTCGTGTTCAGACTCGAACACCGAAGTAACCTGCGAAGACATTTTAGCTTTAAAGAAATCATCTCATCGGTTCTTTTGATTTTTCTTTATAGTGACCACACATTAAGCTACTGGGGACGAATATTAGCCAATAGAGATCAGTTTAAAACATCATTTTAAAATCCTACCAGAACATAAACTATGACAGGAGATTGTAGGTGTGAGGTGCTCCTGAAGAGTTTATTTTTGTCATCTGCATTTTAAAAAGTAGTATTTTGGTCCAGTGATATTAAATAAGCAAATGCAAGCGCTCAACACATTTATTTACACATTTATAGGTTTTAGATGAAGATGGCAGGAATCAGCTTCGGCTCATCTGCTCGGTCTGCAGACACAAACATCACCGGGTTTACTATTTATCTGAGAGCTGCTCTTATTTATTTAACTCACGAGGAACAGACACGTCTGCTCCCACACTTCTAATTGGAGAAGTCCAAACAGAAACACAACGTGCGGCTCCTTCGTCCTGCCTCACGCTCAAACAGACTTACTTTCTCTGAATAGAGGAAGCTGAAGTTCTGCTTGTGTCACATCCCGTCCTCCCCGATCTCCTGAGTCAGCAAGTCTGTCTGTTTAGCAGCTTTCCAATGTTGTTTTTCTCAGAAATACTAAAATGTCATACAAACAAATAAAAGGTTTGATGTTTTCTGTGTCGTTGCAGAACGTTTTGAGGAAGCGAGACCAGAGCCAGGCGGAGTACGAGGGCCGCCTGGAAGCAGCCATATTACGCAAACAAGAGGACAGAACGCCCGTAAGGCCTTCGTCTCCTCTGAATCTGCTTTCACACACATTTGCAGGATTGTCGCTGCCTTTTCCTGCATTATCTCTGTTCCCTTAGTCTTGGAATTTAAAGCTTAATCAGTCAAACTCCTTTGTTACTGGGAGTATGAGTGAAACTCTTCTGCCACATGTCAGTATGATCTAATACAACCCTCTCCTGTAAAACTCCTGCTCCTCCTGGACCCCTGTAACTCTAGTAAGACGTAGCCTCGTGTTATGTCCCCTAAAGGCCCCTGTAGCCGTAGTTTTCTCTGTGCTGCTGTAGATGCCGGTGGAGGTGGAGAAGTGCCAGGACAAGGTGGAGTGTTTCAACGCCGACCTGAAGGCCGACTGGGAGCGCTGGCAGAGCAACAAGAGGCAAGACTTCAAGCAGCTCCTCACCGGCATGGCCGACAAAAACATCAACCATTACGAAAAGGTACACAAAAGAACCGTATGACTGCTTAAAACGCGCTGGTTTCAGTCACAGCATGCTAAACAGATAACTATGATTAATGTTTTCATTTCATGTGTCATCAGGGAAAATTATGATCACTAGGGCTGAAAAAAATCTGAATACTTTTGCCGTTATAGTTAGTCGAGATATAAAAATGACTTTTTTGAACCTGTAGAGAGAACACTAATACGTCTCTAATCTGTCTTAGCGATGTCACAATACCAGGAACTGTTATCGTCTTCACCAGTACCACTGAGATTCTGTGATACCGATTTTGATTCCAGAGCAAAAACAAAAACAGACCGACGAATGTATTTTAACATCAAGCTCACTCATCTTGTTTCCTTCCTCGTGTGAGTTTTTCATGCCTCTGAAAAGCTTCGTATCGTCGTCTGTGTGTTGTGTGTCTTTCTTTAACGTGTTGGTCGGCTTTGCCTCTCCTGCTCGACATCCTCGTCGTGGCGATACTGTGAACAGACCATTAGGAAACCCCCAGAGGCTGCTGCTGCACAGACACACATGCACACCCCCGTATTCTATCAGCAGCACCCAGCTCTCGTTATGAGCTATCGCTGTGTTTGCCTAAACGAGCTAAAATGAGTCTCTGCGTGGAGCGACGCTAAAGCAGCACCGTGACGACGTGTTGTTCATATGAAGCAACCGGTGAAACGTTCTCAGCTTGAGGTTTAGGTGTTTCCTCTGGATGTTCCAAATGCATTTCTCATTAATCCATTAGTTGCTGTAAATAATTCAACCCATTAATAATATATTAACGGTAGAGCAGAGGACGAGGGGGGTACGCCTGTCACTTAATGTATGTTCATTAGCTGTTCTACCTGCTCACTAACACTCAGAGATTATAAAAGAGATGGAGGTAGTGATCGACTCTAAAAAGTGAAACCAAGGTCCTTAAAGTGTAATACCACCAGGCACCACTAGGCGGTGGCTCGAAAACAGCTCAGCCTCCAATAGACTCATCATAAAAAGTTAAGTCAGTGCAGTTTCTCCATTAGTTACTGTGATTGTTTTTGTTAAATTCCCATCTTCTGATCAGTGTTCTGGCGGTCCATTTGAAATTAATTCTACAATTAAATAGAAATAAGGCCTCAAAGTGCGTGATGTTTTGGAGAACTTTAAGATAAAGTACGTGTTTATTGAAACCCAAACACTTCCACATTTCTGCTCAGAATGTGCCGAGAACTGTTTGATTTTTTTAACAATCGGTTCCAATTCAATATGTCTGTTGTTTCATTTTATTTTCTAATTAAAAACTCAATAAACAGGCTTTAATACCTCACCTGGACAGCAGCGGTCCGCTGACAGTAAACAAGCAGATGAGTTTCTTGTGACCCTCGTAGCTATCGGTGGGTCCAGACTCCTCTGTGTTCGGCCTGTTTGGTTCCTTCCAGTACAAAAGCGCCTCAGGAGCTGCTCTGTTGTGCAGAACCGCCGTAATCGGTCTCAGCTCCCGCCGTGGAAACCATGTCCTTCAGCCTAGAGCGCTGGAATTTAATACAGGTGTCGTAGACAAGATGAAGAAGGTCTGTGGTGTCGTGCACATGTCGGCCATGAACCATGTTTTAGTTATTCATATTCAAACATGACTTGTTATGAGCTTGTGTTTTAGCCACATGCTGAACATTTTCAGAGACTAGAAGCCTTTCAGATGAAGTCTCACAGACGTGTTCTGTTAGAAGCTTTTCCATCTAGACATGCCAAATATTTCAGAGAAAGGCCCAGATGTTAGGAGGTTTAAATCCATTTCTAACTTTTGAAGAGCTTTAGATTTTCCCTGTTTAAGGTTCAGCACAGGTTTCTATCACCAATCAAACAAGCCTTAAAACGCCAGCGTAGGCAATCATAGAGCAAGTTCGACTCTGTTTCCATTTCACCTCATTCTTTCCCCGCTCTGACCGACTCTTCCTCCCTCTCCGCCCTCTGCAGTGCCAGGCAGCGTGGGAGTCGCTCATAACTCTCCTCCAGGAAAAACAGACTGAGGACAAAACGAGTGAGACGAACTGAAACACCTCCTCGTCCTTCTCTCACCCTCTCATGCCAAGGAAAAAGAAGACCAAGCGGGCGGCAGGTTTCGACTGCTGGACTTTTGCCCCGGTTCTCCTGTGAGACGCCGAAGGAGGTAACGAACGGTGCGTTCAAGAGCAGCTGGGAAAGAGGAGAAACCTACTATGTACAGACTTTTTGTTTTTGTTTTTTTTTTGCTGTTGTTCTTATTGACTTTTTCTACGTCATATTTCCAATTAACAGTCGGTTGCCAATGCTGCTTGTCTTTATTTAACCGCTGTCTCTCTGTTTTCTCATCGAGCCAAATGAGAGGAGTCACTGTTGCAGAAAACGTTTTGTTTTTTATGAGCATCCTAAGTTTTGTTCAGTATTCGGAACAACCTCGATATCCTTCCTCCTGCCAGGTTGTTGACTAACACTAAAGCCTGCACTGAAGCAAGGCTCATCAAATCATTTTTTAACCTCCATCATATTGGCAGTAACAGGCCAACGTGTTGTACTTAAAGGACCATACCTGCTGGTTTTGCAGGACTCTGTGGATTCTGTTCAACCTGCCATTACTGATATTTTCCAAGAGTTTTTTTCTGCAGCTGTTTTTGTGAAAGAAAAAAAAAAAGCGCTCGCCAAGACGTGAACGGTGCCGTGGCATCTGAGCCTCATGGCCACGTGTCTGAGCAGAATAACGAGGAGGTGCAGCGACAGACATCACAGCGAGGCGTCAGTGAAAGCCTCGCGTCGCTCTGCTAAAGGGAAACGTTCTCAGCTAGCGTCGGGATAAACGGACAGGCTGCATTCAACAATGACGACACACGTCTGAGCTGAGTGCTGAGGTTCCTCTCAGAGCCGAGCACAAACACAGGAAGCAGGGCTGGCTGGTTGTTTCTGACAGAGCGGTGGCGCCACCTTGTGGTTAAGCTGTTGATAGTTTTCTCTGATGCTTTTCAAGCGGAGGTTGAACACATGGCGCTACCTCTGTCCGTTTCTATTCATGTAACTTCATTTTTTCGTACCATCTCCATGTGTACCTGCTCCAGGTTGGGGTTTACTTCGTCTTCTTCTAGCAAACGCGTTACCTCAGTCCAGGATGTTGAACGGTGAAGGTCCATCGGTACTCTGTCAGTTGTTCTCTTTAAACCCGTACAAACATTTCATAAACGGTTACCTGATGTTTTTCCTGCAGTGGTTTGCCTTAGGAACACCCGTTTGTAGAAGCTTTCTGGAGGAACCATGCAGCGTCGCTACACCTCACTAACAAGGTCTTGTTTTAGTTGTGAAATGACCTGAAAGAACTTTTATAAAAGGTCTTTGTTTGGAAAGTCCAACCATCAGGTGAACATCTGTCCACATCGGAGCCGGTGACGCTGCCGCTGGCTCACAGGGAAACAAAACTCCTCTGACTTCTGGGAAATTCCTGCCGTGTCCCGTAAACACCTGGATCAAAGGATGAAAGGGAGTCTGGTGAATGATCCACATCCAGTCGGAGGGATGCAGCTTTACTGTAAACGCTAAAGTCAGTAGCTTCAGGAGGTCGGAGCGACGCTGAACATGACTCAGTTATGAGGAAAGCAGTTTGACGTCGTGACCTCGTCGGCCGAGCGCTGACTCAAGGGAACAAACATTCAGCCGGGCGGAGCAGCAGCAGCGTTTTTGCCTCATTTCCTCGTGGCGGATGTGGCCTTGCATTATTGCGACAACGCGTTCTGGTTTATTGTTTGTGTCGCTGCGTTGTTCAGAGTTTGCTGAGAGGTCACCGTTATTCAGCGTTTGTGGCTGATGTGGTGAATGTCTTTCCTCCGTCCTCGGCCGCCTGCTGCTTCGTTACACTCAGCAAAAAGTAGCAAAAAAGTCAAAATGTTAAAAAAAAGAAACTTGACCAATGAGAGCAGGGCAGACTCAGTCATGTGACATCCTCCCAGCACCACGTCGGTAAAGGTTTTAGACTTCTGTTGATCCAAACGGGTCAGAATTATTTCTGTTGTTTCTTTGTTGTTATTACATTGATTGTCAGGATTTTCAGAATAAAGGTGCTGATTTAATTTTTCTGTGCTTCTGTTTTCAAAACTAAAAAATCTCCCGTATTTGAGTTGTTTTAACGTCCGATTGTTATTTATTTTTTACGTTGATGCCACATGACTACGTCTGCCTTCTGTGCAACCAAACGTAAGCGCTGCAGCTCAGCTCAGTGTCTGCCGACTGGTTTGACTTCTTTTTTCTTTTTTGTCTTTCGCGTTTTCCCTTTGAGCTTTAAAAGCATGAAGCAGCTACTGTTTCTTCTCGTCGTGCCTGAAACCAACAAGGTCACACATGAAGAAATTCTTATTGTTTTAATTTAAAAGCTCTCCAGGTAGCTGTGATCCAGTCCCGAGGCAGCTACGGTGGACTCGTCTACGGACGCGCTGATGCTAAAAGATGCTAAAAGGCTCAGTTGTGGCAGAATACCAGAACATTTAAACGCACCATGAGGAGGGTCACGAGTGTTCAGGAGTCACAGAAACCGTCAGAGGAGTTGATCATATTTCTATTTATATCATTTTTATCTCCAGACTTTTGCTTTAGCTGAAAAATTCCAGCATGATTCTGACGATTTCCAACATTTTACAACCTTTTCATTGTTATTATACAAAACTCTATGATTAAGACATTTTTAAAAAACTGTTTATCCAAACCTCAGAGTATTTGGACTCTGGTTCAGTTGGAAGCAGCACTGACATGAACACGGCCGCCTGTCTAGTGTTTGACCGCTAGCGGTGCTGTAGGTCCTCAATTTCTTTCCATATTTCCCAGAAAACTCCACATTTCTTCTATCTGATTGTAATAATGAACATTTCAGACTCTGCTGACTGTTTCTGACAGTCGTGAACCCATGACTTCATTTCTAGACGTTTCAACCAGCAGCTGAATAATACGACGACCTGATGTAGTGAGGAAATAGACACGAAGCAAACACAACACAAATTAAAAAAAGATCTGATCAGAAACGTTTCTGTTGGTTTCCTGGACCCGATTGGTTCTTGGTATCTGTTCACAGCCGAACACTGTGACTGTTTGGTTCATAATGAGTCCATCAGTGCGTCCGTCGACTGCAGTTTGGTGTAAATGAAGGTTTTTCAGATTACAGCTGAATCATATATAAACATATATGTGGCACAGCTGAGTCTAGTTGTGTCCAAGAAACAGGAACCATTGTTGGGTTCTGATGAGTGGATCGGATCCATGAGGGAGGAAGATGTGCATCAACAGTGTGAATCTGGCAAAACCAAAATATGACCAATAAAAACGTTATCTTTATGTTTGATGCACATCAGACCCCCGACAGCAGTCCTCTGGTGAGCGTGCTCTGTGTGCTCCTGATCATAGCCGTTGTGAAGCCCCGTCCTATACTGTGTGCCTGCTGATTTCATTTGCACTATAAATGTAGCTCCAGCCGCGGCAGCAACGTTCGATTTGCTTTCTTTCAGTTTCCAAAAAAACAACAACAACAAACTGTAAACCGGTGTTCAGTCGGTTGAGACCCGGTTTGTGTTTCGGTTTGCCGTCCGGTCAGGAGTTCTTCTTTCATGTACAAAGCAAACGTTTGGAAGCCAAATGTCTCCTCCTCCCGTCTTCCCCACGTCGATTCACACATGAAGAGAAACTCTGGATCCGACCCGTACGAAGGCTCAGACGACTGATGAACGTGTGAATCCGTCTCTTTTTCTAACCTGCGTTCGTCCCCAGTGTGTACTGTTTACGTTCAGGATCCTTATTGTACATTTTGTTGTAATTATAAATAAGCTTGTATATTGATGTTTTGATGCAATTTATCTTTACCACAAAGGAGTTTTTTTTCGGATATATTGGACCAATAATAAAGAGAACGAATGCATTTGATATTTTCTGGTTTGATTGTTTTTCTTTTTATTTACCTGTTTTCACCAAATAAAGTGTAAAAAAAAGGACAAAGAAGAGCAAACATGAAGCAAACTGTTTAAAGACATAATTTTCTCATGAACAGATTGAAAACTTTAAACCAATCCTCAAAAACACCTGTTAAAAAAAGGAACGTCGACATTTACACCAACAGAAGTTGTACCTTTTATTCCATAAAACTAAGAAACAGCAAATTAAAGTGCAAAAATAAATGAATGCAGAATACAAAAATAGTTCCAATAATAGTTCCCTTCAGACCATGAAGCCCTGCTCCGCTGTAGGTTTAAATGTACAGTGCTAGGTTTCTTATTTTGAGTTTTATTATCGATTAAAATGACAAAAATCACACAAGCTAGAACAGTCCGGTACCGGTAAAGTGCTTCACAAACTGATTAAGCATAAAAACCAACAAACACCAATAAAAAAGGAATATAAGACAGAAAGTAAGTCAACGATTTGGATAATAAAAAATAAATATAAAAGAGATTTTTAAAAATAGGAGCTACGTTTCCCGTCACTCAGAGCGTTTCCTGAAAGTCAGCTGTCGTCCAAAACACCACAAACTGTTTTATTCTGGTTTCTGTGGCGGTCGGTGTGTAAGAAGTGAAATCAGTCAGATGGTTTTTTCCCTCCAAAAAAAACAATCAGCTGACCGACCAGCTCCGGGGCTGCCGCTCCGTCACTTAGCACCTCGTTAGCCCAGCGGACGGTTTCCCAGAATGCACTGAGGCAGAAGAATCACTGTTCTGATCATTTCATTGTGTTGCTACGCTGCTGGGGCACTGTTAATCAATACTGGACTCTTAAGATCGTTTTGTTGCTGCATTAATAATTAATTTAGCTCCACTGATGAATCACAGCAGCAGAGGAACAACCTCCAAAGTTTAGTTTATTTCTATTTAACGGGACATTGATAAAACGTGTTCCTGTGCTTGTGACAGCTGAGGATCCATGAAGCACGATTAAAACTAAAGCTGTTGAACCAAGTAGATAAATAAACTAAAGAGAACCAAGAATGCATCAAATATGTTGTGTTCTGTGTGAAATGAGTGAGATCGCTGCTCAGAAGGGTTCAAAGCAGCAAACCAGATTAAAAATGTTGAGTCAGTTAGAAAAAACAGAAAAACTAGACGTCCAGCAGAAACTGTTCATGCCGCTGACAAATCTCCGTTATGTTGAAATCGCCGGCGGTGACGACTTCGGTCTTTTTCAAGCAGCTGGCACCAAGTGGAGCGGCCGATGACGTCGGCTTTTATTTCTGTCACAAGTTCAGAGGTTCTGAACTTCTCTTCAGACGAGTTTGAGCTGTTCCCACACGGAGCCCAGTCCGTCCACACAGGACGGGTTCTAGAAGCCTTTACAAAACGCTCACAGAAGCACGGAACCGACTGCGTGTTCCTCTCGTGCCAGAACGGGCCTGAAGGAAACCCAATGTGGCTGCTGGAGCTTCAACAATGCAGAAGTGGCATCAAAGGAACGGTTTCAAGTCTCAGTTCCCGTCTGCCAATATAACTCGCGGCTGGTGATGATGTCGCCGCTTCAGTCTTCCTGAATCGTCTCGTGCTGTCGCCTCCGACCCAATCTGCAGCCGACGATACTGGAGGAAGTGGAGAGGAAGTTCATCACATCAGTGTTTGTGGAGAAGTGTGTGGAACAAGTTAAGACTCTTTATGGTGTTTATAAAAAGCATTCACCACCGTGGACGTTTTCCTCTTTTATAACTTTGAAAAATTGGATCATAGTTGATTAAATTTGGCTTTTGGGACAAGAATTTACCCCAAAAAGATGCCAGTTAACTGAAAATATAAAACAGAAAGTCTGTGTTTTGTAGATTACAGCTGTGAGTCACTGGACTGGTCTCATCTTCTCTCTAACTGGACCAGTAGATGAGGCGTCCACATCTCAGGTTAAACATATGAATGAAAACAAACTTTGGTCGTAACATCTGGAAAAACCTGAAGCTCTAAACTAATCCGCTGAGAGTACCTGATGGGTATCATTCCCAGGACTGTGACGCTGCTGGCGAGTATGAAGACGAAGCCCGGGAACCAGTCCAGGGTTCCCTGGTAGATCTTAGTGAAGGTGGGGATGTAGGCCAGACCGGCAAACTTCAGAGTCAGCTGCAGGCAGGTGAGAGCAGTGCCTGATGGGAAACACAGAGGAAACCTTTCGAACCTTTTTTTTTTTTTTTTACAGCTGAGAAGGATGCAAGCAGAAACATCCATCATCTCTACACCTTCATCCTCACTAGGGTCATGGGGGGCGGAGCCTATCCCAGCTGATTCAGGGTGAAGGCAGGTTCACCTGGACAGGTAACCAGTCTATCACAGGGCTACACTTAGAGACAGACAACCAATCACACTCACATTCACACCTACAGACAATTTACAATCACCAATTAACCTCAGCATGTTTGTGGACTGTGGGAGGAAGCCGGAGAACCCGGAGAGAACCCACGCTGCACGGGGAGAACATGGAGACTCCACGCAGGAAGATCCCGGGTGTCCTCACCGGGACGCCAACCGGCGACCTTCTAGCTGTGAGGCCACGGTGCTAACCACTGAGACACCTGCAGGCCAAACGCCGATCAGACTAAACTGATTTAAAACGTAAAGAAACGTATGTGAAACATTGGAGAGCAGATTAAAGAACGATTTAGCAGAACATCTCGAATGACTGCTCAGTTTCCACAAACTCACAATCAGGAAACGGAAAACACACAAAACAATGATGGCAAGCAAATGAAAAACAGTCCGAGGTGACGGTTGGACAGAACACTCAGTGAAATGAGGAACATTTCAAAGAGCACAACGTCCTCCCAGAATCAGAACACAATAGATGTTGTGTGTGTCTGGCTGAGCTGTGAACGCAGCCTGAGGGATGAACGACCTGGACACACACTCTACCACTACACTATGAACGCTGTGTCAACGCTCACGTCACTGTTGTTAAATCAGCTTCTTGAAACCTAATAAAACCATTTGAACTGTGAGGAAGAAGGAACTGATTTTTTTACTTTCTCAAAGCTGCTGGGACCTGCTGACCTGACAGAAGCCTTTTAAGACCAATACTAATCAATACTGTCACATCTTTGTTGTAAATATGAAGCTGCCACAAACTAAAGTTAAGAAGTAAGACTGGACACAGGGTCAAACAGCTAACTGGCTCATTATATTGTGTTTGTTTAAATATAAAAATACCAAAGCCATATCTTTCCCTTCATCTCTTCTTACATATCTTATTATTTCCTTTCTCGTGTAGATAACAGCGGCTTCCTGTTAGCCATCGTGTGTGTTTGCTGATGTCACGTCAAAGCAAAGAGACGAAGGGAAAAGCCCCGACAATGAATAACCTCCTGCTTAATCATCAGCGAACCCTCAGACAGAGTGAGGAACATCTGGCCTCATGTGTAGCTCTGAAACCAGGAGTTTACATCCACTGTATGAAAAGACACGGGACCATTTCCTTCTCAGTGTCTGACAGTAAATCAGACTAAACTTCTCCTGTTTCAGGTCAGTCAGGATTAAAAACATTATTTCTATTTGCCAAAAACCAGAATAATGAGAGAGAGAATTTTTTTGATTACTTTTTTAATATAAGCTCTCTCTTTTTATACTTTAAACTTCTGGTGTCAACTGTATTAGCCAACTGTTTACTGGATCTTTAAGTTGTGTGCACAGACTGAACACAACACCTCAGACTAAAGAGTCTGGTGGACTGGTTAGACAGGTCTGTCAGTAACCACAAGAAAAAAAAAAGGTTAAATAACACGGTGTCAGGTCAGAATAAAAACGTGTTTTTTCCAGGTTTAGCATCTTTGCAGAGTTATGCTGAGTTTTAAATAAATACATACATAAATAAATAAATCTGTAATTCAACATTTAGGGTTCGCTTCTGTTTCTAAACTTTCTCCATATTCTGCTTTTTCATGTGACATGTAGTTTTTGTGACAGTAATTCCTCAAACACACTGAACTTTTTATTTCCTTTCCCACTCTTTGACCTTTACGCAGCACAATCAGCTTTCAGGAAATCCTACGTTGACTTTTCATTTCTAGAACTTCCACAGCTGAACACATGCATTTCAAACCCGCCGCTGAGTTTTACTGTGAGGGCTGTAAAACAACACATGCATTAATTTACAGTCAAATGAATGTGAAATGAGTCATGGGTAGTACTCACTGCACCAGGAGGCTGGAACCTGCTGTGACACCAGAGCTCTGATGGTGGTCATCGGGATGAGAGCAAACAGGTTGAGTGAGCGAGCTGCAGAAAGATGAAAACAGATTCACTTTCACTTTCACATTCAGCTCCTGCAGATGCTGGGTTCTGTCTGTGGAAAGGTGCTCATCAGGCCTCGCTCGTTTAGCTGTGGACAGTTTTACATTTTCTCATTCACGCCCTCTGACGTAGTCTTGTGTGCTGTTACAAAAATACATTTGTTTTGTTCCCGTCTTGTCTCCTTGAAAACCAAAGTAGCTCAACACTGTATTTAATTAATGAAGCCCGTTGTTGCTCCTGTGTTTGACATTTTGATTTACTTTGGAAATAACAGAATACCTGGGTAATTATAAAGTTAAATTAAAGCCGCAAGCGGCATTTGACGGGTCCTCGC